TACATTACGTCACAATGTAAGCGACGTCACGATGCATGTCAGTTGTCATCGCCTCGTACGGCCTCCTACAGTAAACTACACCGTTGCATCCAGTTTCTTGGTTTGCTGTTGCTTCACGCAGCTAACATCACTGGTGGAAACATTACGTTTATGTTTAACGACGGTTAAAATGTGTCATTTCGACTCACAAGTTTTCAGCGACACGGTAACGTTCGTAATGTTTACATTCCCACAATGCAATTGTGGAATGTCGCTTGACTACTCAACTTCCTCTGGATGTACTGATCTAAACTTACGCTGGTAGTAGAAATGCAACGTTCATATTGCCCCATATGGTTTACGTTAATGACAGATGTAATTAAAATAATTCAGACAAGATATTTAATCCGAACGTAAACCGTCATCAAACTGTTATCATTTGTTTTTTCTGGTAACGTTCGTCTTAACGTAGGGGGCAGACACATCAATAGAACAGCGCGCCAGTTAGCCCTGTGCGAGTATTCTTAATTTAGGTCACCGACACCGTCGTTTGTTTTCTGCCTTAAATTAATCGTAATTATCTTTAGAAAGTATTAAATTTGGCATCTTAGAAAAGAAATACACTTCGCCCTACCACCATGTATAGTGTAATAAAACATTTTTCGCCCTGAACTATTATATCGTTAGCACTCGGACGCAAGCGTCCTCGTGCTTTAACTATAATAGTTCAGGGCAAAAGTGTGTTTTATTACACTATACATGGTGGTAGAGCGAAGTGTATTTCTTAAACAATATTTGCATGACGTCACGCTCTAATGACGTCACTGCCTTGGTAACCGACGTCACGATTCATGTCAGTTGTCATCGCTTCGTACAGCCTCCTACAGTAAACTACTCCGTAGCACCTCGTTTCTGGGTTTCCAGTTGCTTCATTCGGCTAACATCACTGGTGGAAACATTGCGTTTATGTGTTTCGACGGATATAATGTCTCAGTTCGACTCACAATTAAACAGCGACACGGTGCCCAACGTTCGCAATGTTTACATTCCCACAATGCATTTAAGTTGCAGAATGAATGAATTCACGTGTTTGTTATGAATGAAAAAATAGTTACGTCAGAATGTGACCTAATTGAGAGGTCATCGGTTATCCAATCAAATCGTTAGAATCTCAGGTCAAGTCGTTACGACACAGGTCAACGCGATACGACACTCGTGTGACGTACGAGATTAGTATGCAACTACCCATACGTTGACCACGTGGGTAATAAAAAATAATGTAACACATGAATTTTAATATACCACTCACCCTTTTAACTTCTATTATTGATCTCTTTGCGGTCGTTGCCACCCTGATGGAGTCTTGTTTTGTCTTCGATAAGCTGAATCACAGGCAGCATTTTCATTTTGACCTGTGGCGCCAAACGACTTTCGGCAGCGTTGGGGAAGAGGCAACTGCGCATGCTTATCATAATTATCATGACGTCACTTTGTTAGAACACACGCTGTCCGAAAAGATATCTAATCAAATCTTATAGAACAGATACCGTCCTAAAGTGTTCATTTTATCAAATGTAAAGGAACACTATGCGTTCTGATAGTCTACTTTAGAGGTTGTTTATTCAGTTATTTATCAATTGTAAACCATATATAACCAGATTTTACCAAGTTATTTAGAACATTTTGAGGAATCATTTTCCTCTTGCAAAATACATGTATATTTATTCTCCTTCTGGAAGAAAAGGTTAACATTAAAATACAGAAATTCTTATCAATTTCCTTAAAACCTTTTTTAAATGTCCGCTTGTATAATGTTCAACATTGTCTTAAAATGTTAATGATTATGTCAAAAGTATTTTATTCATTTTATTTACGAAATCACAGTCCTCTAATAACACCTTGTGTTCTGAAAGTAGAACACCTACCTCACAGACTTTGAACACATGTGTTCTAAAACAGAAAACGCCTGTTCTAAATAATGGCCTATGTGTTACAGTTCAGAACATGCACGGACGCGTCCACTTTTCTGCTTGAACACTTGTGGTATAGAGTGTAGTTTTAGCAGGCAGTGTGTGAAGTTTTTACGGATATATCGTCTCTATCTGCTTAGGTAATCATGAAATGCTAGTTCAGTACGCATTATGAAATTGTAGCACATTATTAGAGTAGAAGCAGGGCGGTGGATAAGTCTAGTGGTGAAAGCGTTCACTCGTCACGCCGAAGATACGGGTTCGATTCCCCACATGGATACAATGTGTGAAGCCCATTTTCTGGTGTCCCCTGCAGTGACATTGCTGGAATATTGCTAAAAGCGGCATAAAACAAAACTCACTCACTCACCGACAATAATATGATAGACACACTGTTCAAGGCGTAGATCGATGCTCTTGTTGTTAATCACTGGATTGTCTGGTCCAGACTGGATTATTTACTGACAGCCGTTATATTGCTGGAATATTGCTGACTCAAACATTGTGCAAGGAGCTTTTAGCAATATTCCAGCAATATCACGGCGGGGTTAACAGATTTGAACTGATAAATAAATAAATTAAATAAATAAATAAATAAATAAATAAATAAATAAATAAATAAATAAATCAATCTTAAATGAAAATCAATAAATAAATGAATCAATCTTCTAAAAAAATTAACCATGTATTCACACCTTGAAACAAAGGCAATCTCCCATTTTCTACTTGAATCGGCGTGAGGGGCGAGCGCTTTAAATTAACCAGGCTACCCCATCGCCCCTTCACAGTGAAAATTCGAACTAACTATATACATGTATACACATCGACCAATCACGTTCCACGTAAACTACCCACATGTTTAGGTATTCATTTAGTGCTTTTGTGTCTTTAAGTTTGCATCGTTAGGCCAACTCTTCATATTAGACGAAGAAACAAACCAATTGATGAAAACCCTCGGATGAAGCATACAGTAAAAACTATTAAGGAACTAAGAATTACGTAATTACTGACTGATAATGGTTATTCTTGTCTGGGAGATACGCAGCGCTTACTGCTCAATAATTGATTCCTGCAAGCTTGGCATATTGAAATTGGAGAATTCCTTTGATTAAATGACAATTATACAATCCCGACGTTTTTCCCTGTGTACATCCCCGTAAAATGTCACAAACCCGGTTCAGGTTCCATTAAGGCATGTTGCACAAAATTACACGCACTGTTAGGTTTGAAATGTTCAGATTTCGAAATATTTCGCACATTTCCCTGTCATGTTTACATTTCTGTTATCTGTTACACTGGCACGTTCTGGTACTTTATAATATCTTATAGCAATAAATGATAATTTTGTATCGTCAATTGATAAAGGATTAGACAAATCGATAAGAACAATTATTCAAGAATGATATGACATAATATCTCAAAAGGAAAAGGAAAGTTGATAAATAAATATTTAATTAATGAAATTGTGGGTTTAGAAAACAGCTCAAAACGGTCGTCATACTGTTTGAAGAATTTAGAGCGAATTGGTGATTAATTGGAGTAACCTTGAACACAAATACCTTCTATTGAATATTTTCAGTGTTTAGATAAAAAAATAAAAAAATAAATAGTTATGCTGTTTAACGCCTCAGTCATTTCAGCTGTATAGCGTTTGCCTGCTCTTATTCCTAGTCTATCTCACAGTTTCTGAACCACGTTATTTTCCCTACTGCCTGTAGCCCTCCCTGCAATGCTAAAGCCATAAATGAAGCATTATTAAAGGCTGGATTGCCTCAGGTTCGGGTTCTGAATCTCCCATCTCACTGGGCTCCTTTTCAATTTAAATGGGTTTATTTGTTGCTATCAAAATGGAATATATTCAGGTACAAAGCGTTAGTTTACTCACATTTCCCGAGACTCATTATTTCCCCTTCCACACACCCATCTCTGCGATGCGAAAGCTCTAAATAAAGCAAGTCCAGATTTCTAAAAGTTCACGATCTACCATCTCACTGGGCTCTTTTTCAATTTGAATGGGATTATTTGGTTCGGAAAAAATATATAGATTCAGACACAAAGCATTATCCCAGGTAACTCATCAGGTAAAATGTTTGTTACTATATCATGACAGAAATGGGTTTTACACTGCATATTTATGTGAGAATCGTAACTGTGTCTCCGGCGATTTTACTAACGAACTAACACTTAAATTAATCTAATCTGTTGCTCTGTGTGACATATAAATTATAATAACTTACGAATACAAATGTATAGACACGGATTAAATTGAATTAACGCATGTTAAATATATTAACTCACGCATATATATGTTAAACATATGACCCATGAAGATCCGGGTTAGAACTGGTCTTCACCAATTAACCCATGCATGCTTGTCGTAAGAGGCGACTAAAGGGAACGGGTGGTCAGGCTCGTTAACTTGGTTGACACATATGTCATATCGTATCTCAGTTGTGTAGAGCGATGTTCATGATGTTGATCACCGGGTTGTCTGGTCCAGACTCGATTATTTACATTTGACACACAGACACACAGTTGTCAAAGTAATATAAAAATCTGAATGTTTAGCTTCAATTTATGTGCAATATAGATAGCATTAATGTTAGAATTCGACCTTTTTTTAAAGTCGAAATTGATCCATTACAACATATTAGCTTCGCATCGAATTTGCCTTTCCAATCTGTAAACTTTTGCATTGAATATAATTTATCATTCCATTCTGCTAAACACTTTGCATTATTTGTACTGTAATAAAATTGATAGCCGATAACAGGTAAATGCGTTAAAAAAGGATGGAAAATGTGTCATTCTACTCTAAGGTTTCCGCAAAATTTGACCTAGAAATATTCATTTTTGTGATGACGTTTCCGGATTAAATAACAAACAAGTAAAATATATTTAGTCTACACAAATGCGTATTTTTCAGTCAGAAAACATCTTTGCAAACGTGCTTCAACAAGTGTTTATTCTTCTAACAGCTCGATAAAAGACAAGGCGACGTTTTCTCAGGGCAATGAACTTGTGAACAGCCTCATCCAAGTCGACCCGTCCAACTGACCCACATATTTCATAAAGTCTCGGGCAGACCTCCCTCTTGTGTCAAACTGCGAGGGTAGAGGGTCTATATCCGGTGACAACATGGCAACCTACCGAGGTAAGATTGTTCCGGACACAATGTCATAGTTGTTGAGGCTTTCACGCGGCCAGTATGGTTGAAATATACGCCTGTTCAGCTAAACAGCATTATATTGCAAGTCGGAAGTTTTGTGGACGGTTAATTTTCATGAATGATAGCGAACTCGTGACGTCAAACACATGTCAGAGGCATGTGCTGTGCCGGTGATATATTATCGGGTAGTTGTGCTTGTAACGTTTATTTCCTAAGCCGCAAGTTGTCATAATACACATGTTTGTTAGCGGAGGAAATATCCAAAGGAATCATTTGCTTTTCCAGAAGTGCATGTAAAAGTTAACGAAATAATGCCTAATAGCCGGCATCAAGTTTGACCACGTGGGAGACTGAACTGATGGAACTTTAGATGGACTAGTTTAATAGTGACAAGAGGGGAGACAGCTTAGAGAGGAACACCACATTTATTGTCAAAGCCAACCCATATTACTATATACCCCTGGAGACACGAAGCATACGAAGGATACGAAGCATCATGGAGTCTTTCGGTAGTTATTGAATTGATATTGTAGCGAACTGCCTCATTGCTATTACCGCTAACTATCCTTATCGTGTGAGCACTCCCCTATTTTGTCAATAATGAACCATTCTTAGTATCACTGCGCCGACCGGCGCTCGTAGTGCAACCCTTTACGACCCAATGTAAGTCATATAGTACTCATTTTCTTTGTAAATTCTCACTACCTCCTTGACTATCACAACATGTTCACTTAGCCCACGTGACTTTTTTCTTTTTTAGAGTTGCCCGATATGTTCAGGCTTTACATCGGAAACTTGTCAACAGATGTGACTGAAGGAACGCTGCGTGGCCTGTTCGAGGAGCAAGGAGTTGCGGTCAACAACATATTGTTGAAAAGAAGCTTTGCATTTGTGGATTGTCCAGATCAAGAAAACGTTGACAAAGCAATAGAGAACTTGAACGGTAAGATGCGCTCTTGCTCGTGCAATTTGAGGCAGTTTGTAATAAAATGTGGACGGGACAACTCAACTCGTGTGAAGTAATGTACCAAGAACGCCTACATTGATTCAAAATGGCCGGAGTATATGCCTATCAAACTAGATATAATGACTGGTTAGTTGCTATCTGCAAGCTGCATTCATACCCAAACAGGCATATGGTTGCAGTCGTCAGTCACATCACAACGCTCCATTTACAACTGGCACGTGAGCGGGTTGCTCTCGAGTGTTTTCAACAAGCATGTGCGTGGAACGTCATAATGCCACCGGCTCGAATTCTTGTTCTCCCGCACAAACCCATGTGATCATGGCTGCACGACCAGGGCTCCAAATCTTACCCATTATATTATCGTGTGTATCCGAACCCTCTCTTTGTTGTAAGGACCATGTGGCTTTCATAGGACGTCACCGAAAATGGGTGTGTGACCGTGTCACTGGTTCAAAATGGTGTCAATGTCCTTCACTCATTGCACTGAGTGATTATCATTTGGCTTTGTTTTGGTTTTGAAGCTATGGATCTTTTTTTAAACTGCCATAAAATAATGAATGAGAGATAGATTGCTCATTAGGGGATTAGACACAAGTCAGAGCCTTGCTCAATAACTTTTCTTACATTATTGACAACTAGACAGAAATGAAATATGAAATTAGCCAGTGGCTGTCTGTCAGACCTGCACTGCAGGATCGTAAGTTTTATGCAACTGTTCATAACGGGTGTCTTCTGCTTTCCTACAAGTTATGCCACATTAGCAATTTTTAGTCAGTTGTGGAACACGATACTGATTCTGAGACTCCACAACAGAATGTTGCCAATGACTGCATCCCATTACGTCTGGTTTCAACTTGGTTCTGGCATTTGTAATCTTATCAATTCATTAAAAAGTATGGTTAGATAAGTCCGGTCTCTCTCTCTCTCTGTCCCCAACTTTGAGTCGAACAGACTAGTTGGTTTTACAGGATGTAAATGGATATAGTGAACGCAAGGGAAATGCTCTTTATCATGAACCTGTAACTCGATACTATGTTGCATATGCACCAGAGGGTGCATTCTGTGCCATTTCGTCAAGCTGCATTAGGTAACAATGCATGTGTGGATGAAGCGGTGCATTTGACATGGCTAATGGAGTCCACAACAGTAATTTGCTAAGATTTCACTTCAAGATAGAAATCGTGAAAGCCCCTTGAAAATGAACTGATGGCTGGTATGTGGACTTTTCACTGTAATGTGTAGAATTAAGAATTTTATTACTGGACTAGCTTTTTCTTGAAATGTTCACAAATTTTGGATTAAGTTATTGTTGTTTAAGTTAATAGACAAATATAAAGTGGTTTGACATGTGTTTTAAAGTGATTCTGGCCATTCTACCAGAGCTACAGAAAACGTTTTGGGTCATTGAGTTATGTACTCGCTTGTGTTCATCTCAATTGGGTATCCTAATTTTCCTTTGAGTAACCAAATAAATTGTACTCACCTCACTCAAACTCAATTGGGTATTTTGCCATTTTCCATTAATTTTAAAAATATAATAAAGTTTAAATGTTAGTTTTTGTTATTTATGTTTGATCTATAATATGAGAAACGATAAGAAAGACTGCAAATTGTCAAGTTCATGTCCTGAAATAGAACCTCTCAATATACCTGTTATTTTTTTCTGTCCACCAGTACCAAGCTAAGATTTGACATTTTTTTTATGTGTACGCTTGTAAGATCACATTTTTTGAGTATTTACAAAAAATGAAGCGTACTTCTATGCAATAGACTTAATAGGAAGTGAGTTTTCTCACAAATATTTACGTAATTTACGCAGATACGCAGCTTATCTGTACCTCTGTTCTACTATCTTTCTTTAGTTGCCATGGCAATCTCCAAAACACACATTGACATATTTATCTTTCCTATCTGTAACTGGTCCAAGTAGGAATCTGAATCATGTTAATCATTGTTATTTATACAAAATTTACTAACTGAACTGGCAGAAAAAGTAGTTTAGTACATGCACTAAATTTTTTTGATCAGAATTTGAGTTATTGAACATGTTGCCATGATTTTTAAAAAATATCATTTTCTCCCAAACTGCCCCTCCCTCTATGTTGCTAGTGGTCATTCTAGGAAACTGGATGAAGAATAGTCTAGTATAGCACATCACCTATGTTTTCTTTTAATGGTAAAACTTAGTGTGTCTTGTCAGTCATCACCAATGAGCTGTTTGCTTGGCATTGCACTGTGCTGTGCATGCAATATTATATGGTGCATTTGACAAAGAGCAACACAAATGACTTTGTGTCTTGTTACATTTCGAGTACAATGTTTGTATGAAAATGAGAATTTGTAGATTAAAATGTCTCAACTGTTTATAACACTGAAGTGTTTTCCCTGCATTATTTAAATTAAACCTTAATCATGTTAAATGCGGTCATCATGACTCATAAGAAATTATCAAAGCGAAGTACTTGTTTGGGTTGTCATGACTACAGCAACTAGGAATGATGTTTATGGGTACTAGGGTCAAGCTCCAGGATATTCTCCATAAAAATATTTTTGAAGTGTTATTTGATATTTATGGGGATCTATTTATTGTAGCAGTTTGTTTTTTTGGTAACTCTGCAATGTAAACGTGTTACAAGACACAATAATAAAAACCAACTGTGATATAACTGTAACCACATTCAAAGAAACATGATGAACTCACTGCGTAATGGAGTCTATATTTAAAATATTTAATGCATTTCGAAATAAATCCTAGCCAGAAGGACGCATGATGACAGTAACAGAAGTGAAGATTGCCATTATTGGCTTTAGACTTGACGTAGAAATGGGAATTACTGTTATAATGCAGTACTGAAGATGTGTGCTTGATAACCATCTTTATCTGTCAGACTGAAAAGATACTGCTAAAAAGTAGATTTTTGGTAAGGCAGTTTCAGAAATTAAGGGTGAATTTCCTTGAGGTTTGCCCATATAGTATTTGATTTTCTGAAACCCTCTAATTTGTGAACCGTTAACCTTGTGGCAATGACAGGGACCTCCTTGACTGCTTTGAACATGTAGACTCTCATGGCCAATTTCACTGGAAACATGGCTTGGATAGGTAGAGATATATACTTCTGAGACATCAGTCATATAGATACTTTTATTTGAGGATTCTATACTTCTATATCAGCTTCATGATTATCTACTGGTGAAGATTCTACTTGTTTCTAACAATATCTTAGGACAGCATCCAAATCTGACAGCCAATTACGAAAGGTAATGCTTATTGGACTGCTTCACCTGCAAGGAAAATTGATCATGTGGCTGCTGACCTGATTAATGCCATGATTTAATGGAGATGTATTTCTGGCATAGATCAATTCCTACTAGGTATAACATGTGTTATTTATTGCAGCGTTGGTAAGTATATACCATAAACCTTAGTCATCACATTGTAGTCGTTGGATTCTTCAAAGAGTGGGTCTATTTTGAGTAATAAGCTTTCTGCCAACATGTGACTGGAAAGTTTTGTTTTATCTAAAGTGGTATTTTACACAGAGGTCTTTAATCTTTTGAAAGTGACTACAATTTGAAATTACTTGATTTCTTCCAGGTTACAACCTTCTTGGCTTTGTTATGCAGGTAGAGCCGTCTGTGTCCCGGCGCAGGTATGTAACTCAAACAGACCCTCCCTTGATAGTCATCTTGTGTAGTCCGTAGCACTAGTATACATGGTGGTGTTGTTCGATAGGGCTCCGCTTGATACCAGGTAGATACACTTCGGATTAGTGACATTTGTGTAAAAGAATTCTGTTTTGCATTATCATGTTGAAAAGACATTGTTTTTAAGACAAGGCTGCACAAAAATATATTGCATTAAAGAGTCTGAGACTAGCAAAGAGTCCAAAGCCTGAGAGTCTAAGATCAGCTCATTGCCATGTATGAACATGAAAACTTATTCATAATGTTGTTGAATTTTAACTTGAAATGTCTTAAGGGTCATGGACTAAAAATTGTTGGGTTTAGAGAGAAAGAATGATTTTTCAAGCACTTAATTTTGACTGGTTACCTGGTTACACCTGTAGACTAGAAACAATCCTTGCTGTAACTTGTGTAAGACGGTAACCTAAGTCCTTTGTTAATGTTGCAATTACATCAATGTGATTGTACATTGTCTGTAATTAGGGGTGTATTATGTTCTTATTGGAACTCTGTTGGTGTCTGTAAGCGCATGGATATTACATACATGTTTTCAGCACATTGTTGTCAGAAGTTGTGTGTATCAAGTATACTAGATCCAGTTGCAAAGCAGAGTATGCATCTATGATATTCTGTGACTACGATAACTACAATTTGTTTTTCATTGATATCTGTCCCGTAAATCATGAACCACTGTTTCTTGACCAAGACAGTGTTTCCGCTGGCATTTTTTACTGCTGGACATTTTGACCAGATAGCATTTCAAATACCTGTCGTTTGTAAAATTTATTGGCCAAGTGATCAAGCTTTTGATTGTGTGGGAGAGCTTGCACTCTCACAACCAATCAGAAATGTAGAGGGTATCCCAATGCGTCAATGCTGCTATTTTTAGCCTGTGTTTTTTTCAAAACTGCTATTTTTTATTTGACAACACCTCTGTCACTGTGAAAACGTAATCTTTTTGGAGGAGAAATAAAATTGACAGAGGTCATTAGAAAATTGATTTTAAAATTTGCCGGACATAATGACTGACAGCCTTTGAAATTACCGGACATTCTAACTTTGTAGTGGTCAAAGTCTGGTATAAACCGGATAACATTAACAGAGATACATGCAACTCACCCTAGCCTACATTTTACAGACGGGCAGTATCCTCATTTCTGACATCATGCAATATGGTCCCATCAGTTTTGTCGTTGAAAGCATGTTTCTAATTGGTTAAATGCCCCCGATTTTATATTCTATTGTAAATAAGTTTGGATAGCATTTGATAGAGATAATGTTCTGATAATGCAGATCCTGGTTTTGAATAATTCACCCATTTGTTTCAGCCGGAAGACAAATAAAATCCAAATAAAAAATGCTCCTGATCATGTCACAGTTGATGACATCGGCCTCCTAGTCAGCCAGATAGTGGGGAATCCCCAGAAAGTAGAACAAGGTACACACTAATTTTGGAATTGGTACAGGTATCCGCAACCCAGAATTCCTCGATAACATTGTTCTCTGCTAATCTGAGAGCTAAAATCTTGACTTGGTTAGGTTCGACAACTTGGTTATTTGCATGACATCGAATCCTGATAGCATGGTTCATTGCACATAGTAATCATGGGATTATCTGGTCCAGTTATTTATCGATAGGTGGTTGTCATATAGTATAGCTATAATTTTGGCTTGCAACTAACTTGTTCATTGTCAGTTGTCAATGTGATAAGTTTCTAATCAGTAATATTTTCTTTACACATGTTAAATAGTACATGCCAAACTATGTCTTAATGGCTAGAAATTTTCAAATGATTTTTCATGTTCGTTGAAAAATTCAGAACCTGCACCAAGCTCACAAGTTTTGCTGAATACATAGTATAGATTTTACGACTGTAAAAAGAGAAATAAAAGGATGTCTTCTCCACTGCCTGTTGTCATGGTGATAGAAACCCTTGCATAAGGTGTCTGTAAAATCTTTCTATGTTGCCATTGTGTCTTCTTGATATATGATTAAAGCTGTTGTCTGCGTTTTTCAGTGGGTGCTGAGGGTGCTATGTATGTCACATTTGACTCACCAGAACAAGCACAAGAGTAAGTGTTTGTAAAGAAAATCTATTAACTCCCTTCAAGAGAGAAATAAGCATGAGCTATCCTGTTTGTTTAGTACCCTCATGAGGAACAAGATATTCTACATTATTGTAATACTGATGGGTTTTTATCATTTATCACTTTTTGTAAAAGATAAAAATTTGTCACAGCAAATGTCTCGGGATGGGACAGGAATTCTTGGTCAGAGTTGGGGCGGTGGGGTAGCCAAGTGGTTAAAGTGTTAGCTCGTCACATCGAAGACCAGGGTTCAATTCCCTACATGGTTACAATGTCTGAAACTCATTTCTGGTGTCCCCAGTCATGATATTGCTTGAATATTGCTAAAAAGCAGCATGAAACTATACTCACTCACTCACTTGGTCTGAATTGGTCTCACAAATATGCAGGGCTTGATTTAAGAGATGTTAACCCACTTGGCACCAGGTGCAACCTAAGATAAAAACCTAGTTGCACCAGTCAAATTCCAGTTACACTGTTTTTATTGCAATATGTAATTTCAGAAATATGCTATTGAATTATTTATGTTTTATTCAGAAGTTTACCCACTCAAAAATTGACTTGCACCTGGTGCAAGATAGACTAATAACTAGGTTGCACTTTGTAATATTGGGTTGCACCAGTGCAAGTAACAAAGCATTATATCGAACCCTGATATAGCTGCCCTCGGACAGGATGGTGTATAATGTTACAGAGCCTGATAGGCTGAATGTCAAAAACATTCACTAGCTTGCCCTTGACTTTTCTATATAAACAAAGAGGATGCCACAATTTGTAACTCGCTCACTTATGAAGAAAGCTGTTGCATTATCATGGCTCCTGAAGATCCAGGTTAGAATTGGTCTTCTGCAACCCAAGCTTGTAAGAAGCAACTAATGGTCTCGAATGGTCAGGGTTGCAAACTTTGTTGACATGTCATATCTCAACTGCCAAGATCAGTGCTCATGATAACTGGATTGTAGGGATGTCACGATACATAAGTTTCATGAATCGATACGTATCACGATACCCATGTCACAATTCGATAGTATCACGATACCTATCTTCATGGCATTATTGTGTAAATTTAGTGATGTTTTGAACATATTTCATATTTTATAATTGTCAATGAAAAGATCAACATTTTTGATTCTCAGAAATTAAAAGGTTCTAATTTCCCATCTTTGTGCATGAAAAATAATCATTAATAACTCTCATAAAGTCAAAAAACATGATACAATTGCAAAATGTAAATGATACATAAATATATTTACACCAATACTTTCAAAACTAAATATCGATACAGTTTTGAATGTATGGATAATAGCATCTTCTTAGAAAATGTATCGATGTATCGTGGCATCCCTACTGGATTGTCTGGTCCAGACTTGATCCTTACAGACAGTCTTATAGCAGCTAAGCTGAAACATTGCTGAGATATTGCCGAGTGTGTCGTTAAAGTACAATCAAAACAAGCATTATCTTGATCATTGGACAATGTTAAATATTTTTATCAGGAAAGTGCCTGAGAACAGATTTTATTTGTCCCAGTTTGCTGAGACAGATATGGCCAGCTCTATTGTAGGATGTATGGAATCTGTAAATATTGTGACTTTTGTTCTAGCGCTGCAACAAGATTGAATGGTCGTGACATAGAAGGCAGTTACTTGAAAGTATGTTCCCCTTCTGCTCATAGTAGATAGATATGAACAAATAGTCTTTACATTGAAACTGAAGACATTCTATCAATACATTAGCCTTACAATTCTCAAGCTAGGATAAAATGAATATTTGATATATGATTGCTGTGAATGGGTGCCAACCCACTGATCTAGTCCATACAGAATGAAATACAGATAAGAGGATCTTGGTTTGGATAAATTTCATTTTTAACCCCCCAGATATGTAATGTTCTAGAGATAGGCTTCATGATCACACATGTATTTTTCATTGGCTAGCACATTACTGTGAAGGAAATTCCTTTGTATGAAAATGATGAAAGCAAGTTGTGTTACCTGTAATTGCATCCCACTTCTGGAAAAATGTCGGACTAATTGTTGTGTGTTGAAAAGTCAGATAAAAGAAACGCTTGTTCTCAAATTTATCAACCATTATGTTGTATTACAGGTTGAACTCGCAAACAACAGAACACGCCGAGTGAATCGTTCAAACAACAATAATAACTCAGGGATGAATCGGCAGGAGATGCCACTGAGGTAAGTTACCCTCTGTTAAACGGACGGTAATAAAACATTTTCAGGACGTTAGGATGAATAAAGTGTAGCTAATATTTTTGAGCAGCAATAATTTAGGCTTCCATTCTTACTCAGAAACTGTGGAAGTATAGAATGGCTTTAACTTAACCTGATTATAGGCCAGTGTTCAACATTAAGTCTGTAACACACATCAGTAAACATATACAGTTCGGAATTCAATTATTCCTAATCCATAACGGTTTTATTAATATGTTCAGACTAACATTAGGTGTTGTACAGACCAAGAGGATTCAGTGCGATCTACATTACAGTATTGAATGAATGTGAATATGCAGTGTTAAAATACCTCTTGTATTATGACAATTAAAACATAGAAAAAATCCCTTTTTGCCAATTGGCCTTCCAAAGGTCTCGAAGAATCCCTGGACAGATATTTCCAAGGTCCATGGATCTATAACAAAATGTTTTTGGTCATTAAATTTAAGAATCCATTTGCCAGTCTTAATATGGTTAACATGTCAGCTTGGCAGCTTGGCAAAAAAGGTAGCACTATGTAGTCTCTGAGCAGTTGTCTCCCTTGATGAAAGCGTACTATGCTGCATGGAAAGTTTTGAAGATTATCATAAATGAAGATGTAATTAAGAATTTGTAACATTCAAGTTATATCTGATTTAGCTGTCTTCCTTTTAATAACTGAAGCATTGGTATTGGTATTTCTGTGGTAATGTTGGAAATTGGTGAGAAATATATGTGTTGATCATTGGTTAAAAAACACAAGTGTATGTTAGATATCTACACATCTAGTCCCTCTGACAAAAAGTAGGGTTTATCAAAGGAATTCAGTAACACAGGTTTCTTTGTTGAGTGTTGAAACTTTAGGCAGTTTGAAAACTTGTCCTTAACTGTATTAAACATGGCAAATTCTTGAACTGTACCTGTGATTTATACATTTCCTACTTTGTTGGGATGGTTCTGTGATCAAAGTATGATAATCATGAAAGTGACATTCCCAGTGAAATTATGAAATGTTTTCAGACAACAAGTATGTGTTTTTCTTGTATTTACTTGTGAAAAAAAAGCTATGGAAATAACTGGGTTTTGCATGCCATGACAGATTTACTATAGTAACATGACAGAACTGGCATTCTTTAACTTCTCAGTAGAATACATTTTACCATTTGTAAAGATCAAATTAGGTTCCTTTAAAGATAAATAGTTTCTTGTGCCAGTGACTTCTAGTCAGATGTGACCCGTGAAGATCCGGGGTAGAATAGGTCTTCAGCAACCCATGTGCTTGCCATAACAAGGCGACTATCTTGTCGTAAGAGGCGACTAACGGGATCGGGTGGTCAGTTTCGCTGACTTGGTTGACAAATGTCATCGGTTCCAAGCTGCGCAGATCGATGCTCATGCTGTTGATCACTGGATTGTCTGGTCCAGACTCGATTATTTACAGACCGCCGCCATATAGCTGGAATATTGCTGAGTGCGGCGTAAAACTAAACTCACTCACTCACTCTAGTCAGATGTTGTATATACTGTAAGCCACCCATTAGAGGAACATGCTTGAACGTATTGAGAGTGGATGTATGGTTTCTGTCATGTATCAGTGTATTGTGTTTGCAGGATAATGGTTGGCAGTGAATATGTGGGAGCCATCATAGGAAAACAAGGTCAAACCATCAAAAACATCACGTCACAAAGTAGAGCAAGGTTTGTTACTTGAGCATGTGTTACAGGGGTGGAAATAACCCATTGCCCGACGTCCGAGTCCAGTGTTTTTTTCTGTCGGGCAAGCAAATTTGTATATCACACTGAACCGGTGTCCAGTTGACTTTCCAATGTTAATTATGTTGTTTATTTTGAAAAATCAACAAGAAAACGGCGGGTATAGTGGAAAAATTATCAGGGCAAGTGATTTACATGTGCCACTGTTCCGGAGTACACTAGCAATTTTAAAGTTATTTCCACGCCTGTGTTATACCATAGATATGATGGAATAACTGTCTCCTTGTCAGTACTTATCATTAAGTTATTTAGAATAATTAAGTGTTAGAACTGACACTATTTGTTGCTAAAACCAGAAATTCTAATTGGTTATTTCTGTTAGAGTTGGATGTTATTTGAAGTTTGAATGTTTACTGAAGATTAATTTTTCTGAAGATTTATTTGTTTCATCTTAAATTCTGTCAGATTTTAGTTTCTAGTTTCTATGATGTGTTTGTGTTGATCAAGTTGATGCATGAACTAGTAACTTGTATATTTACCGTCTACAGAGTGGATATTCATCGAAGAGAGAATCACACACAAGAAACAGTAAGTACATCAATTTATTACCTGTAGCCATTTGTCCAGTTATGGTGAAGACTGTTGTTTACGATATCTCAGTTATGTCTGGAATTATATTTCGTAACTTGTGATAAATTGATAGATTCACTTTTCTTAGTATGTAAGTAACTTTTATTAGCAGACAATGTGGTTTAATGACCTGAAGAAGGTTTGATGACTACAAACTGTATGCCGTACCTGCCTTATGTTGAACATCTACTTGATCTTGGACCTGCAATATTACAATCTTTTCACTGTCCTTTTTCCATTTTCAGCTTGTCACAATCAAAGGTAGTCCTGAGAATTGCTCGAAAGCATGTAAAGAAATTATGAAAGTTGTAAGCAAAGAAGCAGAAGCCCTTAACAAAGGGTAAGTGTCTTTCACTCAGATCTTCTCAATTGTCATTTTAAGTACGATAGCTTCTCCGGAGTGTTTCCAGTACCCATGTTTGTGATATGAGGAGGGAGTTGGCTATCAGAATGTCTGAATACACCTAATGATTGTGAGCGCTTCTCGAAGTTGTTTCAGTAGGTTACCTGGCTTATAGTGTCATTGTGGGCCGGTGGGGTAGCCTAGTGGCTAAAGCGTTGTCTCGTCATGCCGAAGACCCGGGTTCGAATCCCCACATGGGTACATTGTGTGAAGCCCATTTCTGGTGTCCCTCGCCGTGATGTTGCTGGAATATTGCTAAAAGCGGCGTAAAACCAAACTCAGTCAGTCAGTCAGTCAGTATAGTGTCATTGTAACCAAACAGCATGGATCATTGTTTCATGGTGTTACCATTATATTTCTGGTCAATACTTAGCCACAACAGTGACAATGACATTGAGCAATAGACCGATCCAGTCTGTCAATCAAAACTGGCGCATGCGTCAATTTTGGCCAATCAGCAGGCCGGGCGCGCTGTGTGGATTTGTCAGACTTATTTCCGGGGTCAAACGATGCCTCCAAAGCGATGTGCTTGGAATTACGCCATTTACACTCACTATATTTATTACATATTGCTGCGATTTGATGTGTACCTTCAACAAAATCATTACGGTCAAGACAAAAAAAAATGGAGGCGGATTAAGGAACGCCATAGGCCTAACGATCTGTTAAATGTCTGCACCATCGTTCACAAAACCTACGTCTGCCTGCTGATGAGAATTTGCACGAATTTCCACAATTTTGCACATGAGCAAAATCATTACCAATTGATGACAACAAATAGCAGTTTAAGACTTTGCAAGTGTTATAAACACGGACAATTCTTGTAACTACAAAATTGTTTTTGCTTAACGTTTTTAGTCACTACTAGGCATTGAGTTGGTACGCCATAAAGCTGAAATGAGAAAGCTGTGACACAATGTAAACAAATCTGACCGCGATCTGATATCGGTTAGGGTCGACCAAAATAACAAAACTTGTTACAAAGAATGTGGCGGGTATTGTCCCCTTTGCTCTTAGATATTCTTAAATTTGTCACACATTTCAGGATGTTTTAAGTTTCATAAGCACAATCTGAAGGCCTACAGTATCTTAACCAAGCTAAATATTCGAGGAGTAATATTTTTTTATTCAAACGGGAAATATTGTCAGTGTCAGCAGTTGCCTATCATGCAATATCCATGTATCAAAATTAATTCATATGAGTGCCTATAAAACCATGCTTTAAATATTTCAGAATTTTTATAATGAGATGCATGGGACTTTGAATTGAATTACCTTCCTCCATGTTGATCGAATACTGAAAACTATGTGAGAAGAATAGTGACTTTCTGGAGTATTGGACGGAGTGAAATAAAGTGTATATCTTAATTATGAGAACATTATTTGAAGTTTTGTTACAACATAAACTATTCACATATATTGGTACATTTTAGGAGTAATATTACAACTGTCATTTCGATTAATTCACTGGAAATGATAGCAAGGTATGTTTTAAGAATCTTGCATTTTTAAGTAAACGTGGAAGGGTAATAAAATAATAATCTAATCAATTATAAATAATTATTTATTTGATTGACATATCAGATTCTTGTGATTTTTTAAGGCAGAACTAGGCAAACAAACACTATACATATCATGGCAGGACAATTACTTGGTATTAAAGATCATATACTCTAGGGGTACAAATACATAAATCACTAATTGGCATCGTTATAAATGAAATCCCATCATTAAAACTACACATTTCGATCTTTAATAATCTTAAATCGACCTTTTCGACAACAGTGCACAATTCTCACCCCCGAACGAAATTTCAACCAAGCAGAGCGGCCCATCTCTGTGACGTCATATGAGGAATAGATATGAGGGCCGATGCAGAATTCATGTACATTGCAGGGGGTAAATTATCTTGTTTACAGGTTTGTATAAACCTGAAATCGGGACAACTGTTATGAAAAATGAAAGCTATATGTTCTCACAATCTACTGTCATTTAATTTTGTCTCCTGCTTTGCCTATTTTTCGAGTAACAACTTGTTTTCATAGACGATTCTGTCAAAATCGCTTGGTGTCGCTAGGCCTTATTTGTTCGAGCCAGACTCTAGTGATAGCAAAAACGATGATCAGCCTCGTTCATCACGGTTACGGTTAATTTCTTCAACCTAAACAGTGCGACATTAAGAAAGGTGGATGCCCATCAGATGCAGTTATTTGAAAATATCCCTGGTAGTTCTTGTCTTATTGTAATAAAGTATCAAAGCAGTGTGGGCTTTTTCAGGTTTTCTAATGCCTGGATGGTATAATGACTGATCCAAATTGATCCCATTTCTGTGGGTTTTTTTACCTCAATATTTAATCATGTCATGTAAAAATGTGACTTCTATTACGTATGATATTAAAAATTGACATTTGATTTATTTGAATCAGTAAACTAAACAACCCTACTTTGCCATTGCTAGAAGAATCTGAAAATTTACTTAGGTAAATAGGTACATACAGTTTTAGCACACAGCAAATGCTTATATGTATTTCTTATGCAATAATGAAGTTCTGTTTGTATTCTCAAAACAGTGTCGGCCCATAAGTTTTCACATGCAATTAAAATTGCATGCAATACAGCAATTAATACTCCCATGTTGTAACCCGTGTTAGGTGGTATAAACCTGTTATTTGTCATCATTCACTTGATGGTCAGTTAATGGATTTATAACAGGTATAATTAGTGGTAACACCACTTAGATTACCCGGCAAAGGTTCTCATTTGGCATTTCTTGTGTCTGGAGTAAATACTCAACATTATAAACATCGATCAAAGGATTCATCGATAACACGCTGATTGATTAATTACTTTTATCTTACACAAATGATTTGTCAAAAGTTAGTGTTTATGTATGTAGATTTACTGATATATACTGAATACTCTGTCGTGTCTGTCTGCGAAAAAACGTCCTTCTTTCAAAAGATTAACCGCCAATACATTGATTGATTGCTCATTATTGGCTTACTAAATTACTTTTTTTTAAAAGAAAGGCGAACATTATGCAATTAGTTGCCAGGTGTGCTATCTTGGGTGACCAATGAGACTATACACCAATGTGAAATACCTGAAACGATATGTCACTTTTTCGTATATTAGACTGTTAAAAGACACATCACTTGGAACAGCTGCAGATGAATGGCATATCACTCGTTTTTGAGGATATTGATGGATACATTCCTCGAACAAGGTAATAGCCTGACATTGTTCCTGTAACTTTAATCTGTTTTAATTTTAATATTTGCATTGTTATCCCCCGCAACGCGTTTTGCGGGGGGTATTAAAATGGACTCCGTCGTCCGTCCTTCCGTGCACATTTGTCTTTTCCGAGCAGAACTCTAAAACCGCTCAATATTTCTTCACCAAACTTGGCACATACATGGATCTGGTGGTGTACTGGTGCCTTTTGGTAGTTTTGGAATTCTGAATTAAATATTTTGGCCTTTCCATGGCAAAAGGTCGACTTTGACTGAAATTGGTGGTAGTGCTCTTTTCGAGCAGAACTCTAAAACTGTTGACTATTTCTTCACCAAACGTGGCACATAGATAGATCTGGTGGTGTACTTTGTGCCTTTTGATAGTTTTGGAATTCTGAATAAAATATTTTTGGCGCTTCCATGGCAACAAGTTTCACTTAGACTGAAATTGGTGGTAGTGCTCTTTTCGAGCAGAACTCTAAAACTGTTCAATATTTCTTCACCAAACTTGGCACATAGATAGATCTGGTGGTGTAGTGGTGCTTTTTGGTAGTTTTGGAATTCTGAATAAAATAATTTTGGCATTTCCATGGCAACAAGTTTCACTTAGCCTGGAATTGGTGGTAGTGCGCGAAAAATTTGTCTTTTCCGAAGCAGAACTCTAAAACCGTTCAATATTTCTTCACCAAACTTGGCACATACATGGATCTGGTGGTGTACTTGTGCCTTTGGTAGTTTTGGAATTCTGAATAAAATATTTTACGTTTCCATGGCAACAATTTTGACTTAGCCTGAAATTTGTGGTAGTGCTCTTTCCGAGCAGAACTCTAAAACCATTCACTATTTCTTCACCAAACTTGGCACATAGATAGATCTGGTGGTGTACTGGTGCCTTTTGGTAGTTTTAGAATTCTGAATAAAATATTTTTGGCATTTCCATGCCAACAAGTTTGACATAGAATGAAATTGGTGACAGTGCTCCTTTCTGGAGCAGAACTTTCAAAACCTTTCAATACTCTCCTTCCACTTTTTTATATACACACCTAAATATTTGACATAATCATAACTCGTAGACATAATCATGAAGAGTATTTTGCCATTGCGGGGGATATTGATGACTTTGTCTTCTTGTTTTTATTCATTTGTCGTAGCATTCAACAGAATCATTGTTTTCGCCGTGAAGTGTAATGAGAAAGACAACATACACTAGGGCGTGTGTGCGAATTATGATTCACATTGGCAAACTATAAAGTGTCTAGATAATTATTACAGTCCTGTCACTTCGACCCCCACGTTGCTTCCGTGGAAGAAATCGTTATGTTATAAAGTTGTCATGCAAAATCCTTTGGGTCATGATTCAAATACATATTTAACTATGAGTAGAAAGTAGTTTTGATTTTCCAACTTGATGAAAACAAACCATAATCTCATTAATTCTAACAGACTTTACGATTTTCAAAAATGGCAGCGCCCTGTGAACATCCGCCAGTCTGAGGATAAATGCTATTTAGGTTTGTTTTCACCAAGTTACAAAATCAAAACTACTTTCTACTGGTAGTAAAATATGTATTTTATTGATGGCCAATAGGATTTTGCATGACATAGCTTATAACAACAATTTCTCTCGTGGAAGCGAGGTGGGTGTCAATATAATACTACTTACAGTAGGAAGAAATTGTTATGTTACAAGTTGTGTCATGGAAAATCTTTAAGGTCATCAATCATATACATATTTTACTACAACTAGTAAGTAGTTTTGATTCTTTAACTTTCGTGAAGCGATCTGAACGCAAGTAAGATATCGTTTCAGGCTTGCACAACGCTCGCTTTGCACTCACAAACATAACCCATTTAGCACGAACTGCGGGGTCCTGTGGAAATCTGTGCATGGTGACACCATCGCCTGACCTCTGGGAGCAATTGACGACAACGCAACGATTCGGAATGTCTTCGTTAATGTCGAGAAATCATCAAAATGACATGCTTGCTACACACTTTCTATACAACTAACTGAAAATCGTTCCTCATATGACGTCACTGCAGTGCTCTGGCGACAGAGTTACGTAACCTGTCTGTGGTTTCGATGGCGGGTGAGAGTGAAGCAGGCGACTTTTGGGCAACTTTTAATCGCTCGGTATTTATTAACCACAAGTTTTTTAAGAATGAATTTGGTGTTCCACATAAGACTAACCACAAATCTTTCATGTTTAATAGTTAAGAGTACAAAAAAACAAAGTTTATTTGTTCGTTCTTTAACTTAGTTTCTTGGCTCCTGGGTTTAGATGTTATTTTAAATACTATATTTACTAATAAGATAATTCTGAAAGTGATTGCTAGTGTCCTAACTCATTAAAGTTATTTCAACTTCTAGAGAATTTGAAAAAGCAAAGGCTACGTTTTGGTCAAACCCTGGTAAGGCATTATCCAGTCCTGGAACAGAATAACTTACAAAAATCTCAGTTGACTTTTCAACTTTATTGAAACATATATTTAACCCATATTTGATGTAATTCTAATGATAAATCATCAAGTTTTTTTTGGAGGTTACTAATATTTGAAGACTGAGCCAAAGCTAGTGTTTATTAAGATGTTGGTTTTGGACAAATTGTTGAAGGTTTGTTGATGGTTATTTGGAAAATGAGCTTCATATTAAATTGCATACTGGTTTGTAGGAGGTGAACGCTTCAGGACATTTTCATGTGTGTTTTCCTAAAGCTTTATTATGACTGTTACCAAATTTTGAGTCAATTATGACACTAGTAAGTAAGTATCTCAAAAAGGAAATAGATCAAAATCAGTGTTATGGCCTCGAGGGATACGGTCTTAGATCTAATAAAACAAAGATTATCATTGTTTAAGAAGCAATAATGTCAATATGTAATTGTATTGACAAAAAGCTTTGAACATCGGATATATTCTTTGCACCTTATTTACACTAGTAGTTAGCAGTTAAATATATCTGATGGAAAAAACAATACCTTTGTATTTTTTGTAACACTCTATTTCAATGCTAGTTAATTGTTCGGATAACTGTGGATCCTCTGTTCAAAGATTTTGTATTACATGTTTCCTATTTCTGGAAGATGGGTCGGCTAGTGTACAGGTGCAGACTGTATCTTGGATCTTCTTTGTGTTCTGGTTCTGTGACATACCTGTACATAAACGTTGGCAGTTCATGAAGTCCAGTATTGTGGAAGTTTGTATGTAAATTAGGATTCCACAACAAAGTACATATAGAAAAATAGAATGAAATGATTAAATAATTGATTTCCTTATATTCAGTGTCATATTATCAAGGTGTACAGATTTGGAAGAGGGAAACTTTACTGAGAATTGCTGATCAGCTGTTGAATATTTGCTTCTGGGTATGTCCAGATACGACCATGGAAATACTTTTTACAAGCCCAATTACCTTTTCCACATTTCCAAATAAGATCAAATAGCTTATGCTGTGATTGATTTGTTTACATTAATTATATACAGACAAATAAGGTGCACGAAGTAGTAGATTGGAAATATTTTCTGCTTAATTCATTAAAAGATAGAAACCCATGTTTTCAGATTATTGAACTAAATTTGAACGCGAACGGATAACTACAAGTAAATTCGCCACGCACATTGTTGATAATCTATTTATAGATACCGAAACGATCTGCAACATGAACATGTGTTTGTGTTTACGTTTTTTATAAAAATTTAAAACACAAACAACAAAATTCGGTTACCCTTCCCCTGCTAATATCTGTGACGGAGGTGAATTGCCAGATAGATTAATTGATTCGAAAGAAATTACGCTTCCTACAGTCTCAGCAGCTAGTCGGGACGATTTTTCATCGGGCATGTAACTCAGTTTCACTCGCCAATTGCAATCTGCCAGCTAAAATATATTAAAAATCGCATACCTATAACTTGCCTCTTTAAATATCATTCACAAACGACTAATACCAAAGTATCACAAGCAGAATTCATCAACAACGTTCACAATCATGTACGTTTTGCCGGCGGTGACGCCATTGTGATTTGTCAGTGGTTGTTCCCCCCCTAACGTCCATAACGAAGTGGGCGGGGCTTATCGTCCGGGACTGGATCGGTCTATTGCTGTTGCTATTGTCAGAAAAAAATGTTTTTTCATTAATTTCATACACCTCTATCTATCTGACTGTATGCTGTAGCCTTTTTCTTTTCCATTTTCAGAGAAACACCACTCAAAATATTGTGTCCAAACAGTATATGTGGACGCATCATTGGTAAAAAAGGTGCAGTCATCAAAAGTTTTATGCAGGAGTCTGATACTCACATAGTTGTTTCAAGGTAAGATTTTATTGTGATCATCTATAGAACAACTTGTTTCTTTCTTCATTTTGATCTTCCAATCTAACTTCCTATTTCCTTTACTGTACATGTTTGTATGTTCAGAAAAGGCAATCATTTGAGATTTTACGAAAACTGACAGAATGGATTTTGTGTCACATTGCTAAAACCATGCTATAAGTACAAATAAGTGAGAAGTTTAAGCATAGGTCAACAAGATCAATGGCAGTATTCTTATGTACAGCTAAGTAGAATAGAATAATTTGTTAATGCTAATATTCAAAATGGTTTATAAAAGTCTTGACTGTTTTGTAAAACTACTATCTTGCAATCCTCATTGACACTGTTTGAGGAAGTGTGGTGTTTGTCTTTACATTGATTCTGTTTATGAGCCTCACTATGTGACACTAGTTGACAATGGTAACTCATCTGTACACAAAACCATGGTAACACGGAAAGCAATTTCTTTTAACATTTTTTCCATTCATTATTCCCTTGCTATTTTCTTTTGAAGAAGGTAAACTTCTGTTTGCTTTTTTCTGTACCTGCAGTGTCATAACATTCACTCTTGCGCAACTGCTCGCTTAAATTCTTACATTTTGCTTGACAAAATCCGTGATTGATGAATTATTCTTTCCCTTCTAATTGCACACATCTCCTTGAAATCTGTTCCAATTCTTTGCAGTCATCACCATGTATGTTGACTCTAACCAATCGTTCCTACTGTGAAGTATCAAGCAAAGCTTTCAACATGGTGCATTTATCAAGGAATAGGCAACCTTTATAGTTTGCACATGCTGACAATATTGGACAAGTTCCCATATTTACTGTTTACCTTTCAAGATGTTGCATTGTCATAATGTCCTTGCATACAAATTCTAAAGTGTAAATTGCCTTCTACGATGCATAAAAGCCTGTTCTCGCGCTAATCCCTGATTTGCCCTAACATCACCATTGCAACACGTGCTTGCTTGGATCTGACACAGCCTCTCTTCTCTCTCCTTGTTACCAGTGAGGTTTTGTCTGCCTCCAGTCTAACGGATATGAACAATTACTTCATTGATCGAGTGGTCACCGTCACAGGCAACAGTGAGCAGACGGCCAAAGCAGAAGAGCTCATCAGTGAGAAGATGAGGAACTGCATGAACCAAGATGCTCAAAACTATGGGGTTTGTATTCCCTGAAATAATCTGTTCTGGGAGTCTTGTAGGATTTGGGGTAACGTGATGATCTAATGCACAAGCTGTTAGATTGGTTTTGTCGTTTGGGGTGCCAACGTGAATTTTGGGGCTGAGAATCTGTTGTTTGCCCAGATGTCTGGGCAGATGGAGGAGTATCGTTTCTTGAATTGTTGATAAGGTATTTCGACCCGTGAACGTCCGGGTTAGAATATTGATCTTCAGTAACCCATGCTTGTCGTAAGAGGCGACTAACGGGATCGGATGGTCAGGCTTGCTGACTTATTTTGTCACATGTCATCGGTTCCCAATTGTGCAGATCGATGCTCATGCTGTTGATCCCTGGATTGTCTGGTCCAGACTCGATTATTTACAGACAGCCTCCATATAGCTGGAATATTGCTAAGTGTGGTGTAAAACTAAACTCACTCACTGATAAGATATGTCAGTTTACTTTCTTAACTACAAATGTTGATGTTCCTAATGACAAAAACAAGATATGCCTAGTGGATTATTTTCTCTTGTGCATATTTGTTCCTTGACAAGCCTTATTTGGAAATTTTCCCCCCATAAGAACCTTCGTTAGGTTAGGTTCAGCCATTAAGGGTAGTGATTAGGTAATTCTGATACTATGTTTTAAATATTCATAAATATGTTTCCTTTCTGTCAAGTGATTGTTTGACTAATAATCTGTTTACTTTCACAGCAGCAGATGATGTTCGGGATGCCCCCACCTAACGTACCAATGATGCAAAATATGAACAGTTATCAGGGAATGAGGACGCCATACCCAATGATGGTAATAACTGCAAACGTGTCTGTTTTCATTCATGGTAAACAGGGGCGAGGGGTAGCTTAGTGGTTAAAGCATTTGCTCTTCATGCTGAAGACCCCGGGTTTCGTACTAACATGGGTATGATGTGTGAACCCATTTCTGGTGTCACCTGCCGTGATGTTGCTGGAATATTGCTAAAATCGGCATAAAACCATACTCCCTCGCTCACTCATGACTGGCATGAAATGTTGCTTACAACAGCTGGTTTGTCTGCTAAGTAGTAAGTTATTTGCATGAATCTCTTGTTTAGATGGAATATTTGCTGCATTGACACCAATCAGGGGACAATTGTTTCATGACACCTGGGTGTATCATTGTAGCTTTCCAATCAACAGGGTAACATGTACCCAGGCCTGTTTGGGGGCCCAGGTCAGCCAATGCAGCAGCAGCAACAGCAGCAGCAGCAGCAGCAACAGCCACAGCAACAGATGGAAGTTATCTACCTCTACATCCCAGAAAGCACTGTTGGGGCAGTCATTGGCAGCAAAGGATCCAACATTAAAAATATCATGAGATTGTCAAACGCAAGAATCAAGGTTAGTTCTGAATGTATGTGGGGGCAGTAGGGTAGCCTAGTGGTTAAACTATTCGCGTGTCATGCCAATGACCTGAGTTTTATTCCCCACAGACACATGAAGGTCCGGGTTAGAATTGATCTTCAGTAACCCATGCTTGTTGTAAGAGGCGAATAACGGGATCAGGTGGTCAGGCTCGCTGGTTTGGTTGACACATGTCATCGGTTCCCAATTGCGCAGATCGATGCTTATGATGTTGATCACTGGATTGTCTGGTGCAGACTCGATTATTTACAGACCACTGCCATATAGCTGGAATACTGCTGAGTGCGGCGTAAAACTAAACTCACTCACTGATTCCCCACATGGTACAATGTGTGAAGCCCATTTCTGGTGTCCCTAGCCGTGATATTGCTGGATGCTAAAAACTAAACTAACTCGCTCACTCACTCTGAATATATGTAGTTTGGGTTCTGGATGGTGTTACTCTTAACAGTGAGCTTGAAACTATTCCGAAATCTAGGTGACCAAACTCGCTGCTTTGACCTTGGGTTTTGAACACTGGCGTTGCATTAAAAAATTGTCACTGTTAAATACTTGTTCATATTAGAAGGGGGCAGAACAGTGAGAATTGCAAGTACTGGGTTAGTGTCTTACATTATTCTGTTCTAACAGTTGTGGGCTTGTTCTCTACTTTTGACTTGATGCACACAAAAACTCTCAATCTCATAATTTTTCATATGGCCCTGATGAAAGCATTGTTTTCTTGATTACTTAAAGATCAATGTCATTACTGTCACATGATGAGCTAAAGTTTACCGCCCCAGTCTGATATGTAATGACTGATTGGTTGATCTCTGAGTGACAGTCGTGTTGTTGAATCAAATATTTGAGCAGTATTGTTTATACTTGTGCGTTTATTGTACTAGGGTGAAAATGAAATGTTACATTGTGAAGACGTCTCTGTAGGGTTTGTTATTCATTGCTGAGGACGTTAATTCTGCTGGTTATTTTGTGAATGTTGAAAAAATGAAAATTGTGTTGCTGTCGAGACAGTTGGTCACAGATATGAAAATAGTTCCTTTCTTTTTTGAAAACTGATGAATTTTCCTATAATGACAGTATCTGCAGGAGTTTTTCCTTTACATAAAATACTTTAAAATGGCTTCACTTGAACAGTTGTCAGGGCCGGATACAGCTTTTTGAGAAAGGGGGGGTGCACACTATTCAGAAAGGAGGGGTGCACACTTCATTTTCCCTACAAAACAAACCCCCCCCCACCCTCTGGATCCGCCTATGGTGGTGGTGATAATTGAGTAATGATTTTAACCTTCAATCAAATCTATAATATTATAGTGAGTACTATAGTGTGTTAGTCTGGCTAATAAAAGTATATAGGCTTTTCACTGAAATGAATTTCACCTGTATCAGAATGAAATTGTCAACTGTCATATGATGAGATAAAGTTTACAGCCCCAGTCTGATATGTAATGACTGATTGGTTGATCTCTGAGTGACAGTCTTGGTCACAGATATGAAAATAGTTCCTTTCTTTTTGAAAACTGATGAATTTTCCTATAATGACAGTATCTGCAGGAGTTTTTCCTTTACATAAAATACTTTAAAAATGGCTTCACTTGAACAGTTGTCAGGGCCGGATACAGCTTTTGAGAAAGGGGGTGCACACTATTCAGAAAGGAGGGTGCACACTTCATTTTCCCTACAAAACAACTCCCCCTCCCACCTCTGGATCCGCCCTATGGTGGTGGTGATAATTGAGTAATGATTTTAACCTTCAATCAAATCTATAATATTATAGTGAGTACTATAGTGTGTTAGTCTGGCTAATAAAAGTATATAGGCTTTTCACTGAAATGAATTTCACCTGTATCAGAATGAAATTGTCAACTGTCATATGATGAGATAAAGTTTACCGCCCCAGTCTGATATGTAATGACTGATTGGTTTGTATCTGAGTGACAGTCAGAAATAGTTGAAGTGTATGTAAATAGCTGTCATAAACCTTGGTTGAAAAGCACTGTTACTCTGCCTAATGCTTGGCATTTAAGGGAATAACTTATTGGCGAGGAGGATGTTGTTTGATTGAGGTGTCCATGTTAAACTGTGGCATGGTGTCATAGTGTGCTAGCTCCATGGAACCAGCATTGTTCAGGACTAGTACAAGCAGCTGCTTGTAGATATACATGTGTTGCACCTCATTATGTAAGTACAGAAATCTTCAACATTAAACACAGTTTTACCTCACCTCTTGGGCGGTGGGGTAGCTTAGTGGTTAAAGCGTTCACTCCAGTACCCAGGGTCGATTCCCCACATGGGTACAATGTGTAAAGTCACTTCTGGTGCTCCTGCTGTGAATGCTGGAATATTGCTGAAAGCGGCGCGTAAAACTAAACTCACTTGTTCACTCACTCACCTCACCTCTGGAGAAGCTTAATATCGATATGTGTTGATGTAGACTGTCATATGATGAGATAAAGTTTACCGCCCCAGTCTGATATGTAATGACTGATTGGTTCATATCTGAATGACAGTTCTTCATTCATATATTTAAACTGCATGGTGATGAACTTGTTATTCTGAGACATCAGTGAAAATGATGAAGTTATTTTTCTGAATTTGTTAATCATAGGTAAGTGACCCAAACCTTCAAAATATTAGGCCATTATATGCAATACTTAACAGAATAACTTCAGTATATTTCTTTGATTCCATTTTGGTCCAGCTAAACAAGATAGTATTTAAGGCTTTCTGTGAAATGAATTCTATTTCTTTAGAACCCGTGAAGGCCCAGATTGGAATGAACATTCAGTAACCCATGCTTGTTGTAAGAGGCGACTAACGGGATTGGGTGGTCAGGCTCGCTGGCTTTGATTGTCTGGTCCAGACTCGATTATTTACAGACCACTGCCATATAGCTCAATATAGCTGAGTGCAGGGTAAAACTAAACTCGAAAACTCTATTTGTTTAGTGCGGATGGAAATTGTCTGCTGTCACATGATGAGATAAAGTTTACCGCCCCCAGTCTGATATGTAATGACTGATTGGTTCATATCTGAATGACAGTCATTAATTCAAATATTTGAACTATGTATAGATAAGTCACAAACCTTGAACACAACACAGACCATTAGTGCCAGCACTCAGTCACATACTTGTAGTTAAGCTTTCTCACTACAGTGCGAGGGGCGGTGGGGTAGCCTAATGGTTAAAGCATTGGCTTGTCACGCCGATGACCCGGGTTCGAATCCCCACATGGGTACAATGTGTGAAGCCCATTTCTGGTGTCCCCCGCCGTGATGTTGCTGGAATATTGCTAAAAGCGGCGTAAAACCTAACTCAATCAGTCACTACAGTACGAACTATAGTATTATTACGGTTGGTCGCTTACAGGATTCAACACACCCAAACACAGCCAACAACCATGCCCACTCAGTCACTGAGGTTCAGAAAAAAGTACATGTGAAGGTCCGGGTTAGAATAAACCTTCAGTAAGCCATGCTTGTCGTAAGAGGCGACTAAACGGGATCAGGTGGTCAGGCTCGCTGGTTTGGTTGACACATGTCATCGATTCCCAATTGTGCAGATCGATGCTTATGCTGTTGATCACTGGATGGTCTGGGTCAGACTCGATTATTTACAGACCGCTGCCTTATAGCTGCAATATTGCTGAGTGCAGCGTAAAACTAAACTCACTCACTTACTCAGAAAAAAGTGGTCCGGCAACTGCTTGTCTGGATCACATACTCTGTGTACCTTGTAATAAGTGTAAATTGTGGCAACTCCCACCCTTCTGTTTAGGATGATATTTATGTTTGCATGAATTGCAGTGAGGTCTCTCAACAGGGGGATTATGGGAAAGGATTCATTCAGCATCACATGAGATAAAGTTTACCGCCCCAGTCTGATATAGAATGAGTGATTGGTTTATCTCTGAGTGACAGTTCGTACGTGAAAACTCAGGATGCACCAGTTCAACAAGTCCTTTCACCCCTAGTGTAGGCATTCAAATTTAGGCAGCATCATTAAAGCATCTTCCTGTGACAACGTTTTTATTCCTCCTTTGAGACAAGATGAAAATTCTCATATCTCAGGACCATAGTTTTTGTAACCACTGTCATATGATGAGATAAAGTTTACCGCCCCAGTCTGATATGTAATGACTGATTGGTTCATATCTGAATGACAGTTCATCAGTACTGAAACACTGAAAATGTTGATGCGTGAGGGGTTTGTCAATTCTAAATGTTTAGAGATGAAGACATTGAAGGGTTTTATCATTCGTTGATGTTTCAAAATTCATATGTTAAATATTGGAATATGTCTAAATTAAAGTGTTTTATCGACATGGTTGATCATAAACTGTTCCATATTACTCCTTTATGGTTTTCTCAACCCACTCTTATGAATTCTCACAGCTGAAATTTTTGCAAATCCAGTACTTTCACATACTTCGAAAATATTTCATGTTTTTGGTACCAGCAAAATGTTATGTTAATTTTTAGAGGGAACTTTATCTCTCCCTGAGTCGCAGTTCAATCTTATTGCTACTATTCCACACTAAGCTCTATATGGCCGTCTTGTTGATTGAGGGCGGTGGGGTAGCCTAGTGGTTAAAGCATTGGCTCGTCCCCGAAGACCCGGGTTCGATTCCCCACATGGGCACAATGTGTTGAGCCCATTTCTGGTGTCCCCCGCCGTGATATTGCTGGAATATTGCTAAAATCGGCGTAAAACTAAACTCAGTCAGTCAGTCTTGTTGATTGAAAGATGTGTGTTGATGTAGACTGTCATATGATGAGATAAAGTTTACCGCCCCAGTCTGATATGTAATGACTGATTGGTTCATATCTGAATGGCAGTTCTTCATTCAAGTAGTTGAGCTGTCTTGTTACAAACCTGTTATTCTAAATCCTTGATGAAAATGCTGACTTGTGTAGATCCCATGTAAGTTGATATTTTCATAGACTTATTGAATGAGCTTAACTATTAGTATCAGTACAATTCATTATTATAAGAGCTTTTATCTTTGATACATTTCTTTTGATTGCCATTTCGTCTGTGGTGGGTAGTTAAACAAGCTTAGGGTTTCCCTAGAACGTATATTTCAAGTTCACTTATATTAGGATTAAATTTGACTGTCGCCATATAGCTGGAATATTGCGGATTGCGACATTAAACAACAAACAATGATATGGTGTACTGTCATATGATGAGATAAAGTTTACCGCCCCAGTCTGATATGTAATGACTGATTGGTTGGTCTCTGAGTGACAGTTCATTCAGTTCTGAAACACTGACAGAGTTGATGTGTGAGGGGTTGGTCAATTCTTAATGTTGAGAGGTGTAGACATTGAAGGGTTTTATCACTCATTGATGATGTATAAAAATTTGGCTGTTACTTGGTTGGAATATTTCAAAATTAAGAGTGTATTCATGACGTGGTTGATGAACTGTTTACTCTTTCACCTTGATGGTTTTCAAGCCCTCAACCTACTTGTTCGACGAATTATCACAGCTGCGATTTTTGAAAATCCAATAGATTTAGAATGTTATTGGTACCCACAAGACTTTAAGGTAGTTTGGGGTGGGTGGGTGGAACTTTGTTTATCTCTCCCTGAGTCCTAGGGAAACCTTGTTGCTATTAATAATAGCTATAACAGTATTATGCAACACTAAGCTCTATATGGCCTTCTTGTTGATTGAAAGATGGGCGTTGATGAAGACTGTCATATGATGAGATAAAGTTTACCGCCCCAGTCTGATATGTAATGACTGATTGGTTGATCTCTGAATGACATTTCATTTAGCTCTAAAACACTGAAAATGTTGATGTGTAAGGGGGTTTGTAAGATTTTACTGTTCAAATGTGTAGACTTTGTAGGGTGTTATTCATTCATGAATAAAAATTCAGCTGTTAAATGTTGGACTGTTTCAAAAGTGTTTTGTTGACATGGTTGATGAATTCTCACAGCTGACATTTGTGCAAATCCAATACTTTCACATAGATTTAGAGACTATTTCATGATGTTTGTACCAGCAAGGTGTTCAGGTAATTTTTGGTAAACTTAGTTTATACCGCCCTGTAGACTGTCACATGATGAGATAAAGTTTACCGCCCCAGTCTGATATGTAATGACTGATTGGTTTTATCTGAATGACAGTTCTTCATTCAAATAGTTGAGCTGTCTTGTGACAAACTTGTTATTCTAAAGCCTAGATGAAAATACGGACTTAAGATCTCATGTTAGTGGATTTGGTCATAGGTGACATGGCAAATATCTGGTTGAATCAACTGGACCAGTGTCAGTACATAAACTATTATGATTATTTTGAAGCTTTATTACTTTGATACATTTCAATTAAATTGCCATTTTGTCTATGATGGGTAGTTAAACAATCTAGTATTGGGGTTTCTGTGGAGCATATATATATATATATTTCAAGGTCTCTTGTGTCAGAATTAAATTGGACCGCCGCCATGTAGTTGGAATATTGCTATTAAACAACAAAGAATATATTTGTGTACTGTCATATGATGAGCTAAAGTTTACCGCCCCAGTCTGATATGTAATGACTGATTGGTATTTATCTGAATGACAGTTCTTCATGTTTGACTTATCCAGGGATTGACACTGACAAACGAAGTGGTTGCCATTGATTAAGCCTTTTGGTTGGTATTTTGTTGAACTGAACCTGTTTTGTAACCAAGTGTATTTCACTAAGGAATCTAGCCGTTGTTCCAAAATCCATTCCAGCGTATAAATGGAACTTGACCTATTTATTTCTGAAGGAATTGTTTATCACACATATTCATTAGGTCCCATTTTACATGTTTTATTTATATACATCAATTCAATGCAACTAAAGAAATGTGAATTGTTTAGGCAGTCATACTTAGACAGCCTCATTGGAACCTCCTCCTGTGTCAACCTTTATCATGTTTATGTCTCCTTCAACACAAGACGAACATTCTGCTTTTTCAGTGCAGGTGTATGCGTAGCTAATCCATGAGCAGTCACTTGTTCATTTCCTGAATAACAGTTACCTGCTGTCACATGATGAGATAAAGTTTACCGCCCCAGTCTGATATGTAATGACTGATTGGTTTTATCTGAATGACAGTTCATTCAGTGCTGAAACAATCGTGTAGATTAAAATATTGAAATGCAGAGAACTTTTATTTATTTTTATTATTCATTGATTACTCTGGTACTGATATGTGAACATTTTATTTCCTTCACTAAATTGCAGTCTTACGGCTATGTTTGCAACACAGAGCTGTGAATGGCTTTATTTGGAAAAGATCCTGGATAGAATTGGTTTTATGCAAACCGATGTCGTAAGAGGTGACCAGGGAAACTGGTTGGTCCAACTCACTCACTTGGTAGATGCATTTTATCGGGGGGTTCCCGTTTTGCCGGACGATTTTGTTATAGATAGAAATTCACTGATGCGTGATAATCCTTTAAACAACAGGGTATTAACTTAGTCTGTTTCGGCCTAAGAAAGTACACACTGTAGCTTCATCTCGATATTTCATATTTTACTAATTCAACATGTTTGGTACATTTTATCTTCATGATAAAATTCATAAATACATATTTCGTACATTTTCAGAAAACGAGAAAATGGTAACTGAAGACATAAATAAATATGCATAAATATTTTCTGAACTAAACTTGATCTTGATGGTGGTTGTGTGTGTTCCTGGAACTGCTGAGAACATCACTGACGGTGTTGGCCGTTGCAGGACAACCTGTCTTACAACATTTCCAATGAACTCGGTCCCTTTCGTGCTCTTAACCCTAACCCTAAACCTAGATAGATTAAGTGTCTACCTACCTCCCCTCGTATTTGGAATGTTAACTTGAGCGTTTGCCATTTTGCAATGAGCGAACCATGTCTACATTCTTTATATACAGGACCAACTTCAGAAATAATCATTGGAATAAGCTTCACTCAATTCAGCTAATATAATTCGATTTAACTAAATTCAGTTACTAGAAATCGAGTTCACTCAAAACAAATTGGTGCCTTGTAATTAATGAGTTCGAACTCAGTCTGCCAAAGGCTCATGTCCCCCAAATGACTATGGGTGACAACTAATCACTGAAAACAGACTATAGCCGGCAAACTAGCGGTACCTTTACTTTTAATTCGTTACCATCACATCAGCTGTCCGGCAAAGTGGGGTATGACCATTTTATCATATCCCAGTTGTTCAGATTGATTATCATAATGTTGTTAATCGCTTGATTGCCTGGTGCATTTATAAACTCGGGCCTAGATTTTCGAAGTTCTCTTAGCACTAAGATAGTAGTAAGTTGATGTTAATGTATGGCATTTATGACTATCTTAGCGCCAAGAGAACCTCAAACATCTAGGTCCTGTTATACAGCTATACAGCTGGAATATTGCTGAGTGAGCCATTGAACAAACAAATAGCTTGGAAATAGTAGTTTGTTGCTTTTCTGATGTCCCCTCCAGTGATATTGCTGGAATATTGCTAAACAGCGGGCATAAAGCAAAACACAGTTCAGTGTGTTGATGTAAACTGTCACATGATGAGCTAAAGTTTACCGCCCCAGGCTGATATGTAATGACTGATTGGTTTATATCTGAATGATGGTTCTACATTCATATGGTCATGAACCTGTTAATCTTATACATCAGTGAAAATGTTGAACTTCAAAGATACTGTATTTGTGAATTTGTAATTCAGAGGTAAGTGATCCAAATCTTAAATGATATAGACTGTTAGCTTCTGTATTTAACCAGAGTAATTATTCCAATGTATTTAAGTTCATTATATTTCTGTGGTTGCAATTTGATATTGCTAAACATGGTAGTATTTAAGGCTCACTGGGAAATTAATTCTAGTTGTCAAGTTCGAATGGAATTTTTTTACTGTCATATGATGAGATAAAGTTTACCGCCCCAGTCTGAAATGTAATGACTGATTGGTTTGTATCTGACTGACAGTTCTTAATGTTTGACTTGTTGAGGGATTGACACTGACAAATCAATCATTTTTCATACAAACCTTGGTTAAATAGCATAGACCACTAGGGGCAGCACTGGAAGAACCCTGTTTACACTGCTTAGTGCTTGGCGTTTAAAGGGGTTAAATAAGGACACTTAAAAAGAAACTGAAGGAATTTGTAAGTTCTTGTCTGAGGGATGGATAACCATGCTGAAATGCAAAGAGGACATTTTATGGAGTTGAGTTTTCATTGAGTATAGAAAATTCAGCTGTTTATTGTTCTGTTAATGCTGAGGTTGATGAACTGTTATTTCACCTTAGATCTGTTTGGAAGTATGGAGTCACTGGCATGATGTCTTAATGCTGGGACTATTCCATATCCCATACCTTGACATACACTTACAATAGTTGTACTGCTGATGACGTGTGGAAGGTTAATGCCATTTGGTATGTCTTGGATCTTTCAAGGAATTAGTTAAACTTTGTCAAGCTGTATATATGGCCCTCTTTGACCTTTTCCTGTTAGAGGGGATAAAATAAGGACTTGTTAGTGAGATGTATGTTGAATTTAAGTGAGGTGTCAGTGTTAATCTGTGGCATGGTGTCATAGTGGTCTAGCTCCATGGAACCAGCTTTAGTTAGGACTAGTACTGGCAAACACTTGCACACATCAATGTGCATGCACCTCACATGTAATCTTTGAACATTGAACCCAATTTCACCTCACCTCTTTGGAAGTTTAAGATTGATGTGTTGATGTCTACTGTCATATGATGAGATAAAGTTTACCGCCCCAGTCTGAAATGTAATGACTGATTGGTTCATATCTGAATGACAGTTAATCCAATTCTCAAACAATGAAAAATATAAAGGATATTGTCAGTTTGGTAATGTTGTGAAGTGGGCATGAAGGTGTTGCATGTATCTCACAAACTAAGTCATCTAAAATTCACTTACGTAGTTTTTACTCCTGCTCTGTTGTGATTACAGGGCGGTGGGGTAGACTAGTGGTTAAAAGCGTCCGTCCGTCACGCCAAAGACCCTGGTTCGATTCCCCACATGCGTACAATGTGTGAATCCCATTTCTGGTGTCCCCAGCTGTGATATTGCTGGAATATTGCTAAAAGCGACGTAAAACCATACTCACTCACTCACTGTTGTGATTACAAATATTCTTTGCCATCAGTTTCACATTTTCTGCAATCCCCTGACAGCCATGTACTTAAAAATTTCGAAACTTTATATTTTCACTGTGGGAAATTTGCAGTATACAAAACAATTTTGATTGTCCAGATTTCTTGCTTCAATTTTGTTTGAAATGTAGGACTTGAGTTGCCACTTGTGATCATGGATCAACTTATGGTCCACTCAACCTGATGTATGAAAATAACTTTACATATACAGATGGAACTTATACATGATGAATATCTTTTCTGTCAGTCTGAGTCAGGGCCTTGTGGGGATTCTGTCTGAACATGCTCCCGGTAACCTCAGGTGGTCAGCGCCAGTTGTAAGAGTCACCAAATTGGTCAGGTGGTCAGTGGCTTGGGTTGGTTGGGAGGCATCATACACCAATGATGTGGACAGTCGCTCATAATATAAATAGTTGATGGTCCACAATTAAATATTTGCAGGCGCCATATAGCTTGAATATTACAGAGTGCGACGTTAAACAACAAATATTACAGGCTACTGCCTTCAGCCAGGCTATTGATGAATGGAATGCAACCCAAACCTTTAAAATCAGATGTGAAAACAAGGTATTTGAAGTAAAGTTATGGTAGGTGTTGGGTACTTGTTTACTGTACTGATTTATAGGGATCAGATGACGTAACTGAGGCATCTTTTATCGTGATTTATTTCCTGTAGTATATTGATTGTCAGCCACTCCTGTTTCAGATCATGCAGGCTCCAAAGAATGAGACGAATGGTCAGGATGGACCAGTCCAAATGCCGGCACCACGATTAAATGAACGCAAAGTAATCATAACAGGGAATCCTGAGTCACAGTGGAAGGTGAGCATGTCATGGCAGGTGCTGTTCTTACTAAGCTTAGTGGGTAATAGTACTTGCTGTTAGCCTAAATATCTCTGAAAATCTGTTAGCTTTCTCCCCCCAAATGGTGGGTACTTGTATCTGTGTTTCCAAACAATAGATGCAGGGCTCCAGATAAGGGCCATATCGGCGTATGTATTGATAACAAATATGCACGATACGGTAGGAAATAATTTAGAAAACGTAGCAGATACGCACCACAGGAATGCTGTACGGTCTTCGAATCATTTACAGGCGTATTATCTGAAAAATTATTGTTTTATTGTTCATTGACCTGTTTACACAAGACTAGCAATGTTGTGCGGCAGATATGAAACGGAACATAAGATTACTGAAACTCCATTAATTTCCATTCAGTACTCTAAATGTACTCTGAAGGTTTTCCAGTACTCCTATATTGAACAAATAACGAGTACATACTCTTGATGTTGAAAAATTATCTGAAGCCCTGTAGATGTCTACTATCAACCGGAGTGATCAACAGGAGACTAGACAAATAACTGGAATGATTGTTACAATCAAAGAAATCTTGAAAATCAGCATGTACCTCAGGCTAAACTGAAATCCTTATACAAGTGCAGGAAACATGTAACATAAAAACGAAGCTTATCACTTTCCAAACCTGTGCTTGTAGATCAGTGTGGTTAAGGGCAGATTTCACGAATTTTAGACTCCCTTTGGTAAAGGACAGTTACTCATTCAAAGAAAATTGCTGAAATATCTCCAAAAGCATGAGTGCCTTGAAATTGATATTTCACATGCTTTATATGGATTTTGTTAAGATTCTTAATTTGGATCATGTGGATAATAAACCCCCCAAAAACCCAAATGTATGGCATTAAGTAAGATTCATAGAGGAAGACAGCAAAGAAATTTAAGGCTTTGTTGGTCTCCTTGCAAAGACTGAAGCAGATATTGTACATGTTATTTGTAATAAATGGATGAAACTTCATGACCATTGGTCAGGAAGTCCACTTGGATTGGTACCGAATGTCACATGATGAGATAAAGTTTACCGCCCCAGTCTGATATACAATGACTGATTGGTTTTATCTGAATGACAGTATTGTCAGTACTTGACACGAGACCAGACTCGTGTCTCATAGTCAAAACAAATCTAATGCTGTGTTGAATGTTGCAGGCACAATTCTATATCTTCGAGCGAGTGAGAGCCGAGAATATGGTGAGCATAGAGGAGGTCCATCTCAGGTCAGAAGTGATGGTGCCCAAATCATCCATTGGAAGAATCATTGGTAAAGGTGGACAAAACGTGAGTAGCTCTACAGTCGTACATTTCAGTGGATAGCATCTTAACTGTCATTGAAGGTTGATTTCAATGACAAATTTGGCTGAATTTGTATGATTAGGGTGGTTATTCTGAGAATGCTTCAAGTCTGGTATAGGACATACTTTTTTTTAAGGTTGGTGGGGTAGCCTTGTGGTTAAAGTGTTCGCTCGTCATGCAAGGTTAGATTCCCCACATAGGTACAGGGTGTGAAGCCCATTTCTGGTGTCCCTGCTGTGTTATTGCTGGAATATTGCTGAATGTGGTGTGAAAAACCCTTGAAGACTATTGGCTTGTTCATATATATTTAGCTGTTTTGGATTAAATGTCTAGTGGTCAGTATTGCTAATATGGCAGAACACGTCATGTCTGCACTATGCAGGTGTTGTAAATAGGTACGTTTTTGGAGTTGTATGATTAACCATTGTTTCATTCTTGAAAATCATCTGCTACTTTTCTTTGAATTGTCTTTTATGAGGGGCGTAGCCTAGTGGTTAATGGTTCGCTTGTCACGCTGAAGACCAAGGTTCGATTCCCCACATGGGCACAATGTGTGAAGCCCATTTCTGGTGGCACCTGCCGTGATATTACTGGAATAGAGCTAAAAGAGGCGTAAAACTAAACTCGTGCACTTGTCTTTTATGATAACTCTGTTCTTAGTCTTTGATTAATTTTGTTGCAGGTTAAAGAGTTGCAGCGAGTGAGTGGTGCTATTGTCAAGTTACCAGATGAGCAAGGGGAATGTGAAGAGGTCCCAGTCAACATTATTGGTCATTTCTACGCGAATCAGGCCGCACAGCGTCGTATACGCTCCTTGGTAGCGCAACAAAGCTCAGGACCTGGAGCAATGCGAGGGGGCCCGGAACCCACGACCACAACAAAACGGCAACTAACAAAGACAGCTATATCAAAACTCACATGTACATGGGCATCTAGACACTAAATTGTATCGAATGTTCATACATTATACAGTTGTGTTCCGATTTGATGGAAAAATGAAGTGGCTTCTTATATGAATGCTGTTACAAATGAAAATATTGCCACAAGAAGAAAAAGACTTGGATTGGAGGAACCTAACTGTATATGTGTATGGATGTTGAATGTCTTCTGCCCATGTAGATGAACTGCACTGAGCTCGCAGCAATCGAAATGGAGACCGACTGAATGACCACCTTGCATGACAACCAAAGAACTTTGTTTCTCTCTTCTTGGAGTAATTGTTTAGTTGCACTTATAGTTAGGTCTTTCCCCAAGTAGCTCTCATTTTCTCTCCGTTTTTCTCTCAATGTAAGTGATGAGAAAACTGCTCCACTCTTGCAAGTGGAAAATCCTTGTGGCATGGTCTAAGGCATCAAAATGATTCACTATAACTCGTGGCTAGCTATCGGTGGGATTGGCAGCGAGTTGAGATTAAGGTTTGACGGTGAACGATTTGCATTGTGCCTCCATCTCTACTGGCAGATGTTATCCAGGAAGCAAGATGGGGGCTTGATGTCCATGTAGATGATATATTTATACTTTATTGAGTTTGAACAAATTTTAGATTTGACCATTGTTGCATGTTTGAAGTATATCATGGTCTTTTTTGTAAAAAAAAATTGAACAGTATGAAAGTTTATTTTTGATACTTGTTGAGATGATTTTTTGTTAGAATTTTTATGATACTATTTGCAGGGTATGTTTCTATTTTGCCCTGTAGGGAGGCAAAATATTGATACAAACTGCCACTGCAGTTAGTCTGTCTCAACAGTATTCACACGGCTGTGTTTGCAATCAGACAGGCCAGAAAAACATCCACTGTTACGCCAGAGCCCTCCTAGCTGACCTTGACCTGACTAATCTGTATAATAAGTCATGGTCAGATAGTGGGAGGTCAGCTGGTGTTGATTCCATCTCTGAATGATGCCTGACAATGTAGTTGCAATGTCCTGTCTGTATCCTAATGTCTGACTGTCCAACGGCAGACCCGGCATCCTGATGCTTGCACACTTGAGAACAGCTCCATTTGATAGCAACTCAACTGACACATGGCGACTGACCAACCTGACTGACCGCCTCGGCAGCACATGTGGCTGCTTCTGTCATGGCTATCTGTTTCTGCTCCAGATCTGGAGGAATGTTCCACACAGCAGTCAAAGAGATACCGATATTGAAAGTCTGTGAATGGTTATGACTTGCTTTGAGGAATAGTCCCAACTGGACTCGCTGAAGGGTGCAACTCAAGACGATCAGTAAATCAAAATATACCCTTTTTCCATGAAAATGAAGTTATGAAACATGATTGCATTGAGACCCTTCTGCCACTGCCTTGAAACCAATTTTAAGACTGAAAACGAAAGATCCTATTTATAGGACAAATTTTTGTTGATGTTTTCTGATTTTTGAAATTGGCTTCAAGGGCTAGTTTAATTTAGTATTCAGATGCCATGACAGATTCCAGCTAGAATTGTCTGCCCAATGTTTTGATGCCTTCTTGTGCTAATTATTAGATGTATGTAGACCACCCCACACAAGCCATGGACTCACACAGTCCAGGGAGAAAATGCAGAACTCTGTGGACTCTCAGTAATGATGATTATGATGATGATTACTATTACAGTTTTTATGCATTCAATAACCTTGTTATGGCGTTCTTAACTCTAGACCTGACATATTTCACTGTGTATCGTTCAATAACTCGTCAGTTTATTTTTTGACTAGATCAGTTTGATTATGGCTGACTCCTAGGAGGGTCCCACTGTTTGAAACTGTTTTCTGAAATTGGTTTTGGTGTTGATTCTTACACCTTGCATGGTTAGTCGCCAAGGAAACAGTTTTCCTTTCAAGTTAACCAGCTTGGTTTTCTTGCATTGTATATTATGACAGAGGGATTTGACTTTTTTTGTGTGGACAAATCTCCTCAAAAGTTCTTATTTTGTTTTCGCTGGGCAGATTACTTTACGAGCCAAGTCTTGGAAAATATGTGAGGTTTTGTTACCATGTTTACTATATCCAACGTTTACTGTTGTCCCAGTAGTTTGTCGTTTGTACAAAAACTTGTTGCCTCTTGACTATCCCCCCTTTCATGTGACAGAATGCACGATTGTTTTACAAAGTTAAGGAATCACTTGTTATTTTCCATACATTTTGCACAAGGCCAGTATTTGAAGTGGGGGAAAGTTCAAGTTTGGTTTTTGAGCCTTTGACTAATTTCTATATAAAAATTAAGATTCCAATCGGTAAGGTTATTTGATTAAGGACAAAGTACGTTTTAATTTGGTTTGGAACAGAAAACAAATATTGAATTTCCTTCTTAACATTAATCTATGTTTTAAGGCCACATGATGGCACATTGTGATCAGCATTTTTTTGCAAATTATTTCGCAGCCTTCTACCTCAACCTGAGTTAATGAATAGGTTTCTTATTTTTCATTTCCACAGAAGTAACTTTGACAACTGGCATAGTACCTCCTGGCCCATTCACTACCTAATCACCTACTATATTCAAACTCTTATACAGGATAGTCCCCATAGTCCTCCCCGTATCCAATAGTCCTCCCCGTATCCCATAGTCCACCCCCTCCCCATGTAGCCCAACCGTCCCATGTATTCTGATTGCCCACTTATATATGTTACTACCCCTGCGAGTGTGCCCTTCCTCTGCTACCGAGGCTTGGCTCGAACCTAGGACAGTTCCAGGGAGCACACCACCTGTGCCGCCACAAGACACCGTAGTAGGGTAGATCCTTCCTGACCAGTCTCCAGTTTACAAGACTACCTTAATGTTTCTCTTTGAGTGGAAAGCTGATTTGTTCATTTCTTTCCATGATTTCACACCTAAACTTTTGTCTGACTGTTCCACAGTATTGCATGTATCAGTTTCTGTAGTTCTGCTACACGTACCGACTTGGAGGATTATGAAAAACCCTTAAAACCTTGGTAGACAATGGAGATGAACCTTCTGTATCTCAAGCTCTGTGCCCCGACAGGCAGACCAACGACGACTCTGCTCGTCCGTCTTCGCTGTAGTTTGTATGCAGCTTCAACAGATCAAACCTGTACTCTTCATTCTCCTTTTCTACCAGAAAAAAATAAATTATTCTAGTAAACAGTCGTTGTGTGTTGTTACTGCCAGCAGCGTTCAAAATTAACATTGGTCCTTAGGCCCAAAGCCGAGTGAAAACCACTCTGACCCACAGCTTGTTTTCAGCAGGTCCTTATGGCTGACAGCTTTTTGTTCCCTAAGAACCAAGTATTATTTCCATATTAAAATATAGGGCCTACACATTCTGATCAGGACCCACAACGTATGGTTCTGGGTCCTTAGGGCCTGCAGCTTTCTTGGTTAAGGACTAACACTGGTTGCCAGTGATCATGTGGTACAGGGATTACTTCACGGGTGTCAGGCAACATTTATTGTAGAAGTGATTTCCAGTGTGTGTAACAAGGGGAACAACTTGTAGGGAATATTTCGGTGGTATGCAGTGGGAACAAGTAGTTATGTTTCACCTTAAGAAAAAGTTACAGTACTTACAGCTCAAGCAAACAGCACTTTACACTTGGCACTGGAAACTTGTGGTCCCAGGATCGGTAAGCAATTTAGTTTGGCTGTTTAGCACCAAGACCAATCTTAACCCGGATCTTCACGGGTACATGTCTTGTGAAGGATTTAGTGACTGTTGGGATATATATGCACAACATGTGACCTAAGCTGTGACTCCTCATTGGATCAGAGCCTTAAGCTGGACTTTCAAAAGCGACTACTCTCTGATGTCTTTTGGGGTCATTTGTATTCAAAACACCAACTTATAAAAGGGGTGCTTTTTCAGGACTGCATCTGTTTAATACAAACAGAAAAAGACATTTTATATAACAATTTTATTGCAGTAAAATGTACAATCTGCAAACAATGGTGTAATTTTCAACTATTTACTTTCAAGAAAATCAGCTTTATGCTGTCTGACACCAAGGAAATAGATTATTTATGGTTCATCCTCTTTTCCTGTTCTGACCATATCTTTGGGCTTCTCTCTAAACAATTTTGATGTTGAGGTGTTTCCTACAGTCTAGTGATTTCATTCTCAAATCCAAATCAGCATCTCACTTGGTATGCCTCAAGAAAGTGCATGATTCTGAACAATTAAGTGCCACATTGTGCTTTCCTGAGACTCTCCTCCAGAGAGAAGTACCTTGACTTTAGATCGTGCAACAATATATTAATATGTCCAATTGAAAACTCTAAAGATTCATTTTCAGCGTTGGGTAAGTCTGTTTTAAAAACAGTTCCTGGAGGGAGGACATGCCCATCAGAGTTGTGTCCCTTTGTTGAAAGGATATCTTTGGAATACAAGATTTGCACCTCTGTGTCAATCAATGTTTTTTCACTAATGTCAATGTCTATGAATTGCATTTATTTTGTTTTTCCCCACACCGAGAAACATGGATGAAAATTAAGCACAAAATCTATCCTGCCTTGACCTGACCGATCATAATTAGGGATGAGAAACAACTGGTAGTGTGTGGTAGTCAGTGGAATGAGAGCAGTGTAGCCTTGTGGATAAAACTTATACTCCTAAGAAGAGTGATTGAGTTTAGTTACACGCCACACTCGGCAATATTCCAGCTATATGGCGGGGGTCTAAATAATCGAGTTTTGACCAACCAATCCAGTGATCAACAGCATCAGCATCGATCTACGCAATTGGGATACGATGACATGTCAACCAAGTCAGCGAGCTTGACCAGCCGATCCCGTAAGTCACCTCTTACGACAAGCATGGGTTACAGAAGATCAATATTCTAACCCGAACCTTCACGGGTCACTCTTATGAAGACCAAGTGACCCTAGGCCAGTCGCTGTTTTTGTAGTGACTCAAGGACCTACATGAAGTTTTTCCACTGATCCTAGGGCCATTTCACCAGTTTTTTGAATTATTTTCATCAGATGATTTTGTTTGTGGTTTGATGCCACACTCTGCAATATTCAAGCTGTTAGTGGTATTCTGTAAACTTAGCCTGGACCAGACAATCCAGTGAACATTTATCCTAATTAAGATAATTTCACATGCTATCAATCATATCAGTCAGACCTCCTCATCCATTCAGTCGCCTCGGACAATATGCATAGTTTGTTTGCGAACCAAACCCATTATCCAGAAAGATTATATGAAGGTGACCTCAAATGCATAAGATTGTTATGTTTTACCTAAAAAACAACCACTTTGCTGTGAGAGGAAAGCTTGAAGTAACGCAGATATTAACACATTGACTGCCACCACGAGTATACTCGTATCAATGTCTGGCCCAATTTGCCACTACATATCGGTGGTATTTTAAAACAAGTTTCACATGTTGGCAAAACAGCACAAGAAGCAATCGTCTCCTGGCGGTAACAAAGAACGCCAGGAGACGTTTGTTTCTTGTGCCTATTTTGCCATTTGCCTATTACGAGTATACTCATGATAGGCAGTCAATGTGTTAAGACGTTCACTACTTTGGTGAAACACTACTATGAATGTGGTGCTGTCAAGCATAGAAGCAGGATGAACCAGGAATAGAATCCTAACATGCCCAAAAGGTGCATCTCTGCAAACAGTATTGTAGCACCTTAGATGAAATGGGCTTAAGATGGGCTGACCATGACCCTCGGTTTGTGGTGACCTTATCTACAGGGATTATACAACTTCCATGTGGAATGTTTCTCAGTATAACCAGGGATACTCTACAACATATATAGTCTCCCTGGTCCCAAGCTCAACATTGCAATTGTTAGTACATTCCAATCCCATTTAACAAAATGAAATATATCTGTACAATGCTAGAAGTATGGATACATTAATTTTGAGTGAGTGAGTTTAGTTTTACACCACTTTTAGCAATATCCCAGCAATATCACAGCGGGGGACACCTGAAATGGGCTTCACACATTTTACCCATGTGGGGAATCGAACCCGGGTCTTCGACGTGACAAGCGAACGCTTTAACCACTAGGCTACCCCACTGCCCCCATTAATTTTGACTAGTGTCCTGTGAGTTACAACTAAGGACAACACATCGTCATCCATTCCTCAAACAATTGACCATACCATCTGTCGGACATAACTGAACAGATATAGATGAACTGAAGATTTTCTTTCAAGTTTAATAAACACAGCTAATTTTGAACACTCACTAAGTCATATAGCCATAGACATCTCATCCCAAAACACAACTGCTGCAAAAAATCAATTACCTAAACAAAAATTATCATGACAATTATACCAAACAAATTCCAGGTTTCAAAAAGGACCAAAAATGTGAAAAAATCAATTACTTTGGCATCTAGAATGAATGTATTCCATGAGACATTAAATATACAGTAATTAAACACAATATCAACCAGGACTTGGAAAGATATTTAAGAAGTGAATTTGGTGTTCAAGAATATGAATGCTTTGAACTGTGCATTTTAACATTTTGTAAATGCCGAAAAATGCACAGGTCTGGTGATCAGCAATAAACTAATCACATCACTGGAAATCCAATGAAGTTCAAAACAAAAATCTATTACAAAGTTTTTAGTTTGTAGAGAAACCAATAAATGGCATGGCAGATAAAGAGGTTAGTCTCTATTACGCATTATGTTTAATTGTGAAACAAAACAATCTGTATAATTAGCCTTTTGAAACAATTTTTTCTTAGGCAAGACCAATTTTATTTCTTGTTTTACAGATTTTTGTCCTCAGAAAACCTAAAGGCAGGAGGGAGAAAATTAAAAATAAAAATAAATAAATACTAAAAGTATTTTACTCTTGGCAATTTATGAAGTGTAAATAGGGCAAAACACAATCTACAAAAAACTTTCTTGTAAATTTAGTTTTGATCAATAAAACATTAGGATTTTATTTTTTGAGTGGGATAATTAACTTTTCTTTTTTTTTTCTTATTCTTGAAAAAAAAACGACCGGCGGATCCGTAAAACAAGAAATAAAATTGGTCTGGCCTTACCTTTTCTTTTAATACTGTCCTCATCCCAAATACAACATTGTTGAAGTTCACCCAGTTTACATTCTCATATTAATGAACACAGCTGATAACTCTTATAATAATTAATAAAAGTTTCCTCTTAAATTATGCAGATCCCTTTGCCGAAAAGGGACATTATCCTTCTGTTCCCTTAATATGCTTAACAAATACAGTTAGGGATCATGGATATTTTTGGGATATTTTTTTCTAGTGAAATGGGGTACACAATTTTATAAATATGTCTCAAAAAATATTCATGAGCCTGTCCCTTGTAGTTGAGCATATGTACAGTACTGACACAATATATTGAAGGATCCATTTCACAAACTGCTCCTTGCGCTACGATGATCGTAACTCATTGACTTACGACCATAATAGAACTACTTTCGCTTTGTGAAACTGGCTCCTGATGCCCAAAAGTTGGTCGTTCTCCTCATGTCTGCAATGCTGAACAAGATTCTCCCTGGCAGACCGATTATTCCATGGTTTGACTTGGTGCTACGTGAAGGAGTCAACTTTTATGGTCAGGGCAACTTCTGGACGCCGGGTAGCTGGACCTTCTCCATATGCTTTCTTACGCTCCTCTCTCCTGAAAAGATCACCAACCATTCAGAAATATGTATACGCATCTTCTATTGCTTCATATTGAGACTGAAAATGTTAATGTTTTGATTTAGTGTACAAGGGTGGGATGTTTGTTAGAGGTACAATATGAAAGGAAAAGTCAAACGATTATTTCGTACCAATGTTTAGCAACTCCCAGCCTGCTTGGGAATGATTATTTTGTCAATAACCCTGGACAAATCAATTCCTTCATCTTGGAACACTGTTGACCTTCTCTGGTGAACACATACTACTCAAAATAACTCAAATAACAGCCATAATTGGAAGGCTTTGTGAGCAATGGGGTAGCCTAGTGGTTTTAAAGCCTGTGAGTGAGTTTAGTTTTACGCCGCACTCAGCAATATTCCAGCTATATGGCGGCAGTCTGTAAATAAGTGAGTCTGGACCAGACAATCCAGTGATCAACAACATGAACATCGATCTGCGCAGTTGGGAACCGATGACATATGTCAACCCAGTCAGCGAGCCTGACCACCCGATCCCGTTAGTCGCCTCTTATGACAAGCATAGACGCCTTTTGTGGCAAGCATGGGTTGCTGAAGACCTATTCTACCCCAGGTGGTTGACTTATCATGCCTATGATGGTGGTTTGATTCCCCACATGGGTAAAATGTGTGAAGCCAATTTCTGGTCTCTGTCGTTGCATAAAGTTACATAAAACCATGGTCACACACTGCAAGGTTTTGTGTTACAATGACCACCTGCCATGACAGCTGTGATACAGTCTTTACAAAAATATCATTTTCTTTTTTAGGGGGGGGGGGTAACCTAGTGGTTAAAGCGTTCGCTCGTCATGCCGAAGACCCGGGTTCGATTGGGTACAATGTGTGAAGCCCATTTCTGGTGTCCCCCGCCGTGATATTGCTGAAATATTGCTAAATGCGGAGTAAAACTAAACTCACTCACTCTTTTTTAGCTTATTTTTGAATGGTAAACATTATCTAACAGATCAAAATCTCATGTGTGATGTGTAACATTTAACTGTAGCATGTGGTATTATAGTCAGCCATCTTTAGGTGAATTTGGTGATTATGCATATTGAGAAATGTGAGAAAAATTGAAAAATGTCGAGAGTAGTCTGTCATAAAATTATATACCCTGAACCAATACGGCAAATCAAGAATATGTGGCAAGTCTAGATTAGATTCTAAAAATGAAGAAATCCATGGGCCCGTGTTTCCTATATTTCATTAATGTAATTTAGGAACAATAAAAGATTGTATAAGGTATTAGTATATTATAGAGTTGAAATCACCAAGCTACGTACATTTTTCTCTTTTCATCAGCAGCCCGCTGTATTTCTTCACGACCCAGGATGTCCTCCTCTGTGCTGAAGTCATCTGTGTTGTCAGGGTCTGCCTGTAGCGTCTGTAACAACAAGCAACAACACAATAAAGGAGATGCCGAGCAAAGACTACCAGGAACAAGTCTGCGTAAGAAGGGCTTCTATGTAAATGACACATTTTTTACACATTTAGGTCAGACTTGAAAGTTCTCAGACAAAAAATCTTAAACACCATTCCATCACCTATAGGTAAAAACGTCTTCCCATGGCAGGAATTCCTACTTTCTGTACCGAATGTTGGGAAGAAACTGACAACACAGGAATAAATGGCACTCAGTTTGTAGCAAGTGCCAACATTCCAGACTATCTTACAGTTAAAATGGCTCAGTTTTGTCATACCTTGACGCCGAACACATCTCCATCCTGTACATGGTACGGAGCCTGCCGCATGCTGTTTTTGTTGGCCCCGCCTTTCTTCTTCTTGCCCTTCTGATTGGGTGACTGTCAAACAGATATTACCATCATTATTGTATTATTAACTTGTATAGCCAGTTATCTCACTGACAACAGCTTTAATGTGCACGACCACGATAGATATTATTTTTAACCCATTCACTGCATCTTTGTGGATTCGATTTTCATTGTCATCTCAGATATAAAGGTGGTTTGGACAGATGCTCTACTAATTTTCAGGTGATGAATTACATAAAAATTTATTAAGGTGAACTGGTTATCATAATTATACACTCGTGAAGATCTGTATTAGAATTGGTCTTCAGCAATCCATGCGACTACCAGGATTGCTGCTCATGCTGTTGATCACTGGATTGTCTGGTCCAGACTCGATTATTTACAGACCACTGCCATAAAGCTGTAATATTGCTGAGTTTGGTGTTAAACTACAACCAAACATCATAATGACACTGAGCTCAGATCGTCAGAGTTTCCAATGAGCGTTGTGAACACTGGTCCTTCAGTGAACGACTATTGTTTTATGCCTCCCACAGCAATGTTTCATTTTCATGACAGGAAAAAGGCAGGCATCACACAGTGTGTGTGTGTGTGTGTGTGTGTGCGTCAAGTCGCGTCGTGCGTCGCGTCGTCGCGTCGCGTCGCGTCGCGTCGTCGCGCTATAGATGCTATGAGCACTCAGTCCAGGCAAAACACCCAGGCACCTACCACAAATGAAGGATCATTCATAATTTATGGCTAGTGGGGGTGATGATGATTCAAGGGTGTCACACATTTTGTTCTGGGGAGGCAGAGGTGTCATCAGTTTTGTACTATAAGAATATTTATTATTATTTAGATAGTATTTTTCCTGTACCATGATTGGTCAAAATACCGTCACGTGATTGTCTACAAAACACGATATTGACTTGAGTTTCCTGATAAATTACAACATTGACTTGGGTTACTAAAGGAATCCCGTACAAAGAGGCTTCCCCTGCTTTTCAACCAATCAGATCACTCGGTTTGACATCATCCCCCCACGTGCTATTCTTAGCTGTTCAACATGTATAACATATAACATGTAAAATGTCTTCTTTGAAGGGCACTTAGAAGTGATGGTGAGTGAATGCTGTGTGAAACATATATAGAAACTGATATCAAAAAACTCTTTGACTTAGATATAGTCTGGACCAGATAATCCAGTGATCAACAGCATGAGCATCGATCAATGCAATTGGGATACGATGATGTGTCAACCAAATCAGCGAGCCTGACCACCCGATCCCGATAGTCGCCTCTTATGACAAGCATTTAAATTTTATATCAAGATTATCACAATATGCTACCTTTTGTTCTTCAACCACAAGCCACTTGAACTGTCGAGTGATATGTTTGGCAACCCTGATTTGCTCGACAGGAAGTGCCAGGAAATCAGCCACAGCTTGCAAGAAGTCGAGTGGCGTGACACCATGTGAGACGTCCCAGATAAGCTCCTGCTCCATGTCGTATGTCTTGGTTCCTGGGAGTCTCTGCTTGATGTTGATTATAATCTCGTTTGAGCTGAAAAGTAGATCCTTTGTTTAGTTTCCATTCAAACCTTTACAATAGGTCTATGAAATTCAGACTCCACTAAGAATATCTTGTTAAAGGCACAATGTCACACATTTTCGACAATATTTGGGCCTATAATTTATATATATTGGGGCATGTGCACTCACTTTAGCTTCCTATTGATACAATAGAAGACCTACGACTTGCCTGAAATCGATAATTGAAACTTTGAGGCAAACAGCTTCCAAACAGACAACACTTGACCAAGATATTTTTTTTATTTAAGCTTCTTATTATATTTTAATCCATAAAATATCGTGGTCATCTATAACAACTTCAAAATGCTGCTAAAAGACAAGATAACACTTGCCCTCTATGGAATGGAGACAATTGCTCCGTACATTGAAAACTGTCGCACGTGGTGTTGTCAGTGTTTGCCAAATTGGTTTCAATCACAAGTTGTGCATAGGATATTCGTAATAAGCGCTCAAAGCGATACAACTCTATGGGGTTCCCTTGAAATAGTTTTGGAGGGCATGAGAGTCGGTTTGATGCAACGTTGCATTAATTCATTTGAACTTTTTAATTTAACATTGCAATCTAAATCTAAATCTTATTTTTAGAGAAGTGTGGTGTGATATAGTGCCTATAAGCCTCACACAAAGACGGTTTGGAAACCATGGTGTGTCTGGACAGGCGTCAGCAGACAGGGATCAATCCGGACCACTCCATGCTCTTTTCTTGTTTACGTTTCTCGCTAATTTAACTTTCCAGTTATAAATAAATGCATATGATCACAGTTCACAATGCTTTTCCTAGCATGCAATAGCCTCTCACTCACCTAAGGTTCTCCTCATGAGGAACAATCTGGACGGCAATACTGCTTCCGGACGTTACCTTCAGTCGTCTGGAAACAAAGATTCGACAGATAGACAATGGACATCTTCCAAATATGAAATATTGAAATATTGTCTTTCTGTTTATTCATGAAATCTCAGATTATCACATTTTTTATTTTCATTAAAAAATAAATAATAGGTGGGAGGCATTTAATTTTCATATTTTGTGTTTAATAAACAGTCTATATATCACCAAACAAGAAAAGAATCCATTCTTCTCCTGAATCTTAAGTGGATATAAGCATTAAGTACAAGTACTACAGAAACAACCTCCTTGTTCTGTAGCCGAATCTCAATGAGGTCAAAGGATTAGTTAAAAGGGTCAAAGGATCAGTTTTTCCTTGAGTACAACATGAAAACTGGAAGGGCTACTGTGGCCCTATCCTTCCTTGAATCCAACATTGGCGGGCACTGTTGATGCGATACCTACCTCAGTGTCTGGGTCAGTCCTCGTAACACCTGCCCAGGACGGTGGTCGCTCACAAGTCTGACTCGCAGGAACTCGAATGTCGGCACAGGCATGTCAGTCATGGCTGGCAGTGTCATGATCTGCAGCTTCAGGTCCTCCAGGGTTGCATCCTTGGATATCTCGATCTCGCCGACCTGGAGGGGTTGCGGTACTGCCATGTCAGCAGATGTTGTGCTGGCAGAGGGAGACAGGAGGCCTGCAGACAGACAGAGTGAGTGAGTGGGTATGTGTGTGTGCATGAGTCATGCCAGTAAAATTTCAATTTGTATATATTAATTTTGATATGAACCCTTTTGATGCTTCATGAAATCAGAGTACAGAACCTTGTATACCAGTTGAGAATATACAATACCTTTATTATAGGAACGATCCTTCCTACATGAGATCGCAATATGGCACCTTGTATTCCAAGGACGATCCTACATGAGATTGGAGTACATTATCTGTATCCTGGCAGAGATCCATCATCAAATCGAAGTACAGTACCTTGTATTCCATCAGAGATCCTTCATGACATTCGAGTACAGTAGAGATCCGAGTACAGTACCTTGTATCCCAGCTGAGATCCTTCATGAGATCCGAGTACAGTAGAGATCCGAGTACAGTACCTTTTATCCCAGCTGAGATCCTTCATGAGATCCGAGTACAGTACCTTTTATCCCAGCTGAGATCCTTCATGAGATATTCGAGTACAGTAGAGATCAGAGTACAATACCTTGTATTCCATCAGAGATCCTTCATGAGATCCGAGTACAGTACCTTGTATTCTGGCTGAGATCTTTCATGAGGTTCGAGTACAGTAGAGATCCAGTACAGTACCTTGTATTCCATCAGAGATCCTTCATGACATTCGACTACAGAACCTTTTATCCCAGCTGAGATCCTTCATGAGATTCGAGTACAGTAGAGATCCGAGTACAGTACCTTGTATCCCAGCTGAGATCTTTCATGAGATCCGAGTACAGTAGAGATCTGAGTACAGTACCTTGTATCCCAGCTGAGATCTTTCATGAGATCCGAGTACAGTAGAGATCCAAGTACAGTACCTTGTATCCCAGCTGAGATCCTTCATGAGATCCGAGTACAGTAGAGATCCGAGTACAGTACCTTATATCCCGGCTGAGATCTTTCATGAGATCCGAGTACAGTAGAGATCAGAGTACAATACCTTGTATTCCATCAGAGATCCTTCATGACATTCGACTACAGAACCTTTTATCCCAGCTGAGATCCTTCATGAGATCCGAGTACAGTAGAGATCAGAGTACAGTACCTTGTATCCCAGCTGAGATCCTTCATGACATTCGACTACAGAACCTTTTATCCCAGCTGAGATCCTTCATGAGATTCGGGGTCCAGTAGAGATCAGAGTACAGTACCTTGTATCCCAGCTGAGATCCAGGCCAGCATGCCAGGCTGGTCAGAAGCACTGCGGGGGTTGCTTGGGGTTGGGTACAGGTGAATCGGCAAACGCAGGTAACCCTAGGAAATGAAGAGCATGGGAATTTTTAAAACAGTGCCACTGAAAATATGCCCATGTTTTTGTTTTCATCTGAATACGTAAACTACATTTTGAGTGTTATTTAACCTTCCTTATTTTGTCACTCTGTGTGCAACAACTCTGTGTGCAACAACGTATCGAGTTAATAGAATTAATCCTAATGTGAGTATTTGTTCGCCTGTGAATATGTAGTGAGTGAGTTTAGTTTTATGCCGCACTCAGCAATATTCCTGCTATATGGTGGCAGTCTGTAAATATTCAAGTCTGGACCAGACAATCCAGTGATCAACAGCATGACCATTGATCTACACAACTGGGATACGGGTCTGGACCAGACAATCCAGTGATCAACAGCATGACCATTGATCTACACAACTGGGATACGATGACATGTGTCAACCAAATCAGCGAGTCTGACCACCTGATCCTGTTAGTCGCCTCTTACGGCAAGCAAGGGTTACTGAAGATCAATTCTAACCCGGATCTTCACGGGTATGTGAATTAGTAACCTGGTAGAGTTGTCTCACCTTTGGTGGAAGTCTCCCGGACAGAAGAAGCAAATGATCTCCATCGCTGACAAGATTTTTACCTAGTGTAAGGTCAAGGTCATCTAACACCTCGGCCATCTCCCCACACCAGTTGGTCTTCCTCAAGTGCCAGTCATCCCCTAGAAACAATGAGTGATGGCATGACCTTGACATTGTACCTTTGACAAAAGCACCCAGATAAACTATGCCCCAAATTTACAAATGCTGAGAAACCAATTTTTGGTCAGTGACAGAAAGTATCACTCGTGTTACTTGTTAGGGGTGACTATTGAAGGGGAAACAACTATTGCGATAGCGATAGTATATTGCAACATACTATTGCGTCCAACTATTGCAATAGTTTTTTCTCCTTGAATTGTCTCCTTTGAAGGCATTTCCCAAATGAATGTATAGTTTAATTTAAATAAAAACAAGTTGAAGTAAGTTCATTCTCTCTTAAAAACTGACAAGAAACTTGAAGCCCAGACCAAGTAAACAGTTAAAACATAAACGCAATGAAGCTGCAAGTCTGCACCCAAACAATAATAAAATACAAAACAACATAAATATTTAATGAAAATAAAGTCAATTACTAAACAATCGATAGTCACACATACTATCGAAGCATCAATAGTTATTCGTTTCTACCATCGATTAAATGCTATCGGAGACTCACCAATTGCAATCCATCGATAGTTTGATGCATCATTACAGTCCTATTACTTGCAGAGTGCTTAGTTCATCAATGTATTCATTATAGAGTGCCTCGGTCAGTCCATGGATCGTTCAAACCTTTTCTCAAATCACGTGACCTCTGACAAACTGGTTGCACTGTTAGTGCAATGTTCTTTCGAATAAATCCTTCAGCATTTGAGCAAGGTCATAATGTGATGTTGTAGCTTGTGTTTTTCTTATTCATAAAAGCTGCAGCAGTTGGGTATCATATTGAAGATGACATATCAGCTTTAGAGTGTGAGTGAGGTTTAGTTTTACGCCGGTTTAGCATTATTCCAGTAATATCCTGGCGGGGGACACCAGAAATGGACTTCAAACCTGGGTCGTCTGCCTGACGAGCGAACGCTTTAAACACTAGGCTACCCCACCTCTATATCAGCCTTAAACTCAATCAAGAGTCTGTTACCAAAACATAAAATGGGTCAAAAGTCCTAATTTACAGAAGATAAATAAACAGCATAAGGTATATAGAAATTCATAAAATGCATCATTATGTACAACAATTTTTTTTTCAAAAAATAAAATAAAAAAAACAATAAATTATATCCCTTCAATGTCCTTTGTACAATATATTGTAGACCAGTTAATTTCCTTTTCTTTTTAAATTCATTTTCGTGCTTGTAAATATACTCAGGAATTTATCTAAACCAGCTCAGAAGAACATAGTCTCCACAAACTCTGCACCAATATCAGTAAATTTTAACAAATTTTAACAAATATTTCCAAATTCAAATAATAGTAACTAAAAAGATGACTTTGCTGAGGTTATGTGTATTTTAACAATTGGAACACCAAAAATACGAAAGATGCTGAATTGCTTAATTTCAGATAATTGCATTGAACACCATCTTAAAATGAAATTGTCAAATTACCTCTCAACTTAACAAAATGCAGAGTATAAAAAGTCCCTATTTAGAACAAAATACTGGGTTTTTTAAAATCAAATTTGCCTGTCAAGGGAACTTATTTTAAATTCCTTGGTAAATCACTAAACAAATTTTTAAGTGATCCAACTCACATACTTTTCCCGGAATATTCATCATTACCTTCTGGACGCAGGCTGCATATGCCGACTTTTAGAACAAACAGGGTTTGCCACTCATTTTTTCCAGCTAGTATTAGATGTATTAACAACAAACTCAATGAATGACTTGTCCTCCAACTGTCCAAATTCTAGTCAATATCAATGCTGGTGTAGTAAATTGATGTATGCATATCCTGATTATTGTAAACAATAGTTTTAGTATTATCATTTGCAATGTTATATATGGCTGCCTAAGAAAGAAAAACTGGAGAGCGGCATATGATGCAAAACAAATTTCCCTTGGGATAATAAAGAAATTATCTTATCTTAAAACTGAAAGAAACCTAATAAAAGCTACCTGTAAAGCCTGCTTGTTCCAACATTTTCCTCAAGCAGTCTCTCACTGTGTCTGCCTTCTCCACAGTGATTTCAATATCGGGGAGGTCATTTTGGGGGTCATGGGGTGTGAAGGTCAAGGTTATCTGAAACAGATTGCAATAACATGAATAAACCAGAAACATACGAAACTGAAAGCAACCAAATAACGTGATCATATCAACCATGAAGTTACACCTTTGTAATACATTATTTAACATAAAGATGCTGGAACCTAGTGGTTAAAGCATTTGTCAAAACGTAATAACAACAGCAGCCCCAATAAAATAATAACAATAAAAATTATGATGATGATGATGATGATAATGACATTAAAGCTGAGTAGTTATTGTTCATAGCCAAATGATGTCCCTTTTCAGCCACATATTTTTCAGGTGGTGGGGTAGCCTAGTGGTTAAAGCGTTCGCTCACCATGCCGAAGGCACGGGTTCGATTCCCCACATGGGTACAATTTGTGAAGCCCATTTCTGTTGTCCCCCACCATGATATTGCTGGAATATTGCTAAAAACGGCATAAAACCATACTCAGTCAGTTAGTCACATATTTTTCAATTTGTCATTTCAACTCCTGAATCTTTCAGGAGTCCACAAAGAATGGTTTTGAGTAGGACAAGGTTACGACCTTAAATCCTCAAACCTTTGAAGTGTCATGCCAACGGGCAGCATCTTCGGTTTGGAGTGAATATTTCCAAGAATTTGTTTTATTTGGCCAAATTAAACATAGTTGTAATGGAAAATGAATTCGCCTCATTTGAATGCTAATGTTTTGGCCAAAGAATTAAAAACAAAATTATTAAGTCATACAAATTATCTTGACATAATGACACCATGTGAATATAACTAAAATTGTGGTTTTATTAGAATAGCAATATTTGCATTGGTTGACCTCGTAGATTAAGGGTCAAGGTCATAAAACTAAGGTTCTTAAATTAAGGGGAGATCAGATAGTGATCATCACAGTTTCCATAACAAAGATGAGCATGATTTGAAATATGCTTGGGCATACTTATTTTCACATTGTTAAAAGTGCAGAAAGGCAGTTACAAAATAAAAAATGATATTTACACAGTAGTAGGTTGAGGTCGCTCAACCGTGTCACATGACCAGTTTAATGTCTGGTAATTAATAAATATAGTCACATTCAACTTCAAGACAAGAAAATATATTTCAAATAATATTTGAATGAAAGCCATACAGGCTATAAATAAAATACTTTTTACAAAATATAGTGTTTTTATTCACAATTCAGAAGAAACGCTTCTGAAAATTGACCATATAACTAAATGGTTAGTTGGGTGATGCAGCACTCAGAAATATTCCAGCTACATGGCGGTGGTCTGTAAATAATTGGGACTAGACCAAACAATCCAGTGATCAACATCATGAGCATTGATCTAGGCAGTGTATCACAGCATGGAAATATACAGATCCTCACATTAAAGAAAACTGGTGTATTTTACAGAAGAGATGCAAACAAATTTAGGAATATTTTTATATCCTTTGTAACAAAAAGACACAAATCATGACATGTTCAGGGTATATGAACAGCTGTCTTTACACATTAGGTCCTCATTAACACTGTTGACACTTTAAGGGGCGGTAGTGTAGCCTAGTGGTTAAAGCGTTGGCTTGTCACGCCGAAGACCCAGGTTCGATTCCCCACATGGGCATAATGTGTGAAGCCCATTTCTGGTGTCCCCACCGTGATATTGCTGGAATATTGCTAAAAGCGGCATAAAACTAAACTCAGTCAGTCAGTGTTGACACTTTAAAATTAGCTCTTTGTTATTACAAGAGCCTACAAAGATATAATGAAAGGAAGGGAGATGCCCATTCCTCAACCTGCCTCAATCCATACTGCCAACAAGCAGGAAGATGAGGAGATCCACACTTTTCAAACTGATGAGGCTAGCTCCGGTCCACGTACGTGAATAATATACATTATATTCATCTCCAGCTTACAACAATTAGAATAAAAATTTAAAAACCTAAATATCAAAATATGTGTCTCAACATTCATAATTCATATCATACAAACATAAATTTAGTAAGCAATTGATAATTGTGGTGTAATGATATAAAACATACTTGTGATTTTGTTTCAGTCATTGATAAAAACTAGGCTGATGATATCAACAACATGAGTTATTTCCCTTTACTATTCAGCTTGCAAGTACATAACCTAAATACCAACTCTCATTACAATGGTGGTTTACGGAAAGATTATACTGTGCATGAGAAGCTAAAAGGAATAAGACAGGAATGGAAATAAATATGCAAACAGTTTTCGAGCAGAATCTGAAATATTCTTCTGGCATTGTACCTAAAACCTTAACTACAATACCTTCTGTTACTAGTGGTAAGGGGCGGTGGGGTAGCCTCGTGGTTAAAGCGTTGTCTCGTCATGCCGAAGACCCGGGTTTGAATCCCCACATGGGTACAATGTGTGAAGCCCATTTCTGGTGTCCCCCGCCGTGATATTGCTGTAATATTGCTAAAAGCGGCATAAAACCAAAACTCAGTCAGACTCAGACTAGTGGTAAACACTTGCTCTGAAACTATGACGTAAACTTACTTTTTGATGTAAGCATATGGTTACCAATCCACTATTGAACAGTTAAGTTAGCAATGTTGCTTCTCATAAGCCAAGAATCAGTTTCTTTGTTTGCTAATTTTCCTTAGAAATCAAACCACCTATCTTAAGTGGTCATACAAAAATCTGGGTTTAACGCTAATAAATACACAGGTAATGACCTGGTATCGCTCTTCACCCCGAGTCAATGGACCACGGGGATATACAATCAGCAATGCCTGTCCTTGAAGTTGAAGGTATATTATCGATCGAGTTTAAACTACAGATAGGCTTGGACAATCTACATGGATCAGGCCAGTCAGTGTTAATTTCTATATTTCACCATTCATAAGATTTTGAAGACATATTTTATAAAGTATGTTTTTAATATTAAATTGTGGTTTATTATTCCTTTAAATATTATGTCACATAAACAGGATATTTGAATAAATAGGTTTCATGGAGTTGGTGACAGAGTTACCCCCCTTTGATATTCTCCAGTGATTAATATGTTTATATGTTATACATGTTGATAAAATATATGAGTTAAGCAAGGACACTTATTTAATATTTGATCAATGAATCTGTTAGCTGAAGTCAGTGATTACGTTTTTATGCTGCTTTTAACAATATTCTGTCAGTATTACATCAAATGAGGACATGAGAAATGGACTTTCACTTTGGGTTTTGGGTCGAGTGAATGCTATAACCTGTACGGTGATAATTCTCCTCTGTATACTGGAAAAGGTGTATCATAGATACACTGTTTAAGGGTTAATTATTTAGCAAGGAACAAACATTATAAGGAGCAGCGTCAAATTGCCCTGTTCAAATTCCTGAAAACAAAATCAAAATCTATAATACCCCACTCTGTATAATGATATTTTTTGATAAAACAGGTTAATCACTTCCTGAAACACAAAATGAATTTCATTTGATATTGGAAAATAAAATATAATTAAAACAGGTTGATATAGGCTTGGAGCTTGGAGCTGAAAGTACATTGACAACACTCCATGACATGATTCTGTTTTCGTATTCCATAAAGGTGATGCAGCTCAAATACTTCAAGGAACCAGTCACTCAGTGATTCATTCCTACCTGGTTTGTTTCTGGCGCTTTACCAGGCTCTAGCACCAGGCAGACGTCGCCTAGCAACCCAGCTTCATATACTGTTTGCTGTTCATGAACTAAAACAAATAAAAATTACTTCATTTTTCTCTCTGAAAGAGATATGTGAAACAATATAGCTTGGCCACATAAATGAAAATAAACCTTCATTATACCCAGATACAGTACAATAATTAAAATAATAACTTGATGTTTTTCAAATTTTCTAAATTTTAATGTTGATTGTCTCTGAGGAAGGTTTTATATTAAAGAGCAATATTACGGTCTGGATACCAGAAATGGGCTTCACACATGTCATACCAATGTCGGGAAATGTACTGGGGTGGGGTACTGGCCAGGAAGGATATAGGGTATGAGGGTGGGGCACCTGTATATTGTTCCTGGGTAGTGGAAAGGTAGCAGGGTCGTCAGTGAGGGTAAGGCATTCAAGCACTGTTTTGACTATTCATACTTCCTCAGGGTGAGTGGGCAGATGAGGGACGGGGTGGGCTGTGAGGGTGGGCCATCTATACACTGCTTATATATTCCACACCCAGACAATGGGCAGGGAGTGGGTGGGCTGTGAGGGTGGGCCATCTATACACTGCTTATATATTCCACACCCAGACAATGGGCAGGGGAGGGGTTACCTGTGAGGGGGGAGGGCCATCTGTTCAGTGAGTTATATATTCCACACCCAGACAATGGGCAGGGGTGGGGGGTTACCTGTGAGGGTTGGGCCATCTGTTCAGTGAGTATATATTCCACACCCACCCAGACAATGGGCAGGGGAGGGAGCTACCTGTGAGAGGGTGGGGCATCTGTTCAGTGAGTATATATTCCACACCCAGACAATGGGCAGGGAGGGGGCTTACCTGTGAGGGTGGGGCATCTGTTCAGTGAGTATATATTCCACACCCAGACAATGGGCAGGGAGGGGGCTGTGCAGTGAGTATAGGATTCCACACCCAGACACCAAGGTGAGGAGCATGACCCAGCCCAGTGAGCAGGACCCCACACTGTGGACAATGGTGGAGTAATCTGAGGACCACTAATCATCCCCACAATGGTGACAACGGCATGGGACCATGGAGAAGGGGTTGGCTAGACAGGGTGGATCATCTAGACCACGAGACCATACAATGGTGTTGGGTTGGCAGAGAGAAGGGACACCCCAGTTGGTTGGAGTGAGGCTCATCTATACATTGATCATGACAATGGTGTTGGGTTGGGAGGCAGAAGGAGGAGAGACCCACACCCAGACAATGGGTCAACTAGGGTACACTTATCATACAAGAGGAGTGGGTTGGGAGGGACAAGGAAGAGAGTGGGCTGTGGGGACCGGGAGACCCCATAACCTTATTATACAATGGTGTTGGGTTAGGAGGAGAGAAGGGGTTGACCCAGAGAGGTAGTCCTGCATGATCCTTACAATGGTGTTGGGTTGGGAGGAAGAGAAAGGACAGTGAGTATATATCCCACACCAGACAATGGGCAGGGAGGGTGACCCAGAGAGACCCCACACCCAGACAATGGTGGAGGGTGGCCCCATACACTGAGACCATAACAGACAATGGCTGTGACAGGAGGGTCACACCATACATTGATCATCTACAGTGAGTGTTGGGTATTCCCAAGAAGAGGACAATGGCTAGTGAGGTAGGACATCTAGGGGGGGGTGATCATACAATGATGTTTGGGTTGGGAGGGAGAGAAGGAAGGGGTGGCCGGCATGTTCACCGGATCACACAAATACGGAGGGAGAGAAGGGTTGGCCGTGAGGTGGACCCGAAGACCGACACAACGGTGGCCGGAGAGAAGGAAGGGCTACGTGAGGGCATAAACGACAACAGGCACAAGAGAGAAGGAAGGTTGGCTGTGAGGGTGGACCACACACCGACCAACGGTGGCCGGAGAGAAGGAATACACAGAGGAGGTCATCTATACGACCGATCATACAAACGAAGGCATGGAGGGGAGAAGGAATACGGGGCCAACCACACACCCGATCATACAATGGCACAAGGAGAAGGAAGGCCATGTGGAGGGTGGCCATCTACGACCGACCATACAACGGTGAAGGTGGAGAAAGGAGGATAATGGGCCACACACCGGATCACACAATGGTACACAAGAGTGGAGAAGGAATACGGAAAATACCCATACACCGGATCACACAGCATGGAGTGGAGAGAAGGAAGGAGGACCACCATACACCGATCACCGTGGCCGGGGAGGGGAGAGGAAGGCTGGCCAACCATACACCGGACCACAACGGTGGAGGAGAAGGAATGGGGTCAACTACAAGACCGACCATACAACGGCCGGAGAAAAGGAAGGGCATGGCCAACCATACACTGATCATGGCCAATGGAGCATGAAGGGCCATGTGGAATCAACCGATAAATAACCGATCGACAACGGTGGCCGGAGAAAATACGGTATCAACCATACACTGATCCCATACAACGGTGGAGGAAAAGGAATACTGGAATCCAGACCGATCGAATCGAAGCCAGAATACGAGGGCCATCTATACACCGATCCACGAAGGAATACGTCAACGACCGATCCATAACAACGCAATGGAGAATGAATGTCACACACCGATCACGGCCAACGGAACACAAGAGAATGGAAGGAATACGGAATCAACCGATCACAACAACGGCTGGAGAATGGAATGAAAGCATGGAATAACTACACTGGATCATACAACGGTGGCCGGAAAAGGAATAAACATGGTCATCCCATACACTGACCATACAACGGTGGAGAATGGAATAAATAATATCAACCATACCGGATCATAAATAAAATGGTGCGGCCAGAAGGAAGGATAATGCGGAAACCCAATGGATCACAACGGAAAAGAAGGAAGGAAGGAGTTGGCCGGAGGTGGACACCGGACTGGCGGAATGGAACAAGGAGAGAAGGAAGGCCATGGAATAACGAAGAATTGATCATGGAATGGAAAGGCCGAGGGGAGAAGGGGCCGAATCTACACCGGACCGACAACGGCCGGATACGAGCAATAATCAACCACACCGATCACACAACGGTGGCACAAGGAGAAGAGGAATACGTGGCCACACCGGACCGACAACGGCCGGAATACGGAATCACACTGATCCACACAACGAAGGAAATACAACGGAACCAACCGGACCCACACAACGGCCAGGGAGAATGAAATACGGTGGATCCACACTGACCGGCACAATATGGAATACAATGGGCCACACACGGATCATACAACGGCAATAAGGAGAAGAGGAAGGCCACAAAATATCCATACACTGACCGTACAACGATGGAGAAGGCCACAAATACCCATACAACCGGATCACACAACGGAAGGAAGGAAGGGCATGTGGCCAACCATACGACCGATCCATTAACGGTGCTGGCCGGAGGGAGAATGGCCACAGGGTCATCCCATACACTGATCAACACAAGGAGAGAAGGAATACGTGGTCAACCATACACTGATCAACGGTGGCCGGGGAGATACGAATAGTCAACGACACAACTGACCCATACGAACGGAAGGAGAACGAATACGGAATCAACCATACACCGATCACAACGAAGGAGTGGAGGAGAATGGAAGGGCATGGTCAACCCATAACCGGACCATACAACGGTGGCCGGAGGGGAGAAAGGAAGGGCCACGTGGCACAAATCACCGATCATGGCCAACGGAAGGCCAGAGGGAGAGAAGGAATGGCCGTGGAACCACCGATCATACAATGGTGGCCGGAGAAGGAATACAATGGAAACCACCGGATCCCAACAACGGTGGAGAAGGAAGGCTGGAATCAACGACACCGGATCATACAACGGAAAATGGAGGGGAGAAAAGGAAGGACAATGGAAGGAAACCAACGGATCAAGAATGGCACAAGGAGAAAATAATAAAAATAACCACACCGATCATACAACGGTGCTGGCCGGGGAGAAGGTTGGAATCAACCACACCGATCATACAACGGTGGCCGGAGGGGAGAATGGAATACACAGAGGGGTCAACCATACACACCACACAAATGAAGGAGAGGAAGGAAGGGCTGGCCGTGGAGGGTCATGTGAAACCACTGGATCATACAACAGTGTTGGCTGGAGGGAGAGAAGGAATGTTGGAAGGTGGACATCCATAATACTGACACAATGATGCAAGGAGGGAGAAGGAAGGGAAGGGGGTCATCTGAAGAATGGATCATACAATGACAGCATGGAGGGGAGAAGGAAGGCACAGAGGGGGTCAACCATAAAATGATCATACAATGAAACATGGAGGGAGAGGAAGGAAGGAGCATGGGGCCAACAGTGCAATGGATCATGGAATGGAAAGGCCGGAGGGAGAAAAGGAAGGGCATGGAATGGCCCATACAATGGATCAAATAATGGTGAAAATGGAGGGGGAGAGGAAGGAAGGAAGAAGGGGGGGGCCAACGAATGGATCATGCTGAATGGAAAATGGAGGGAGAGAAGGAAGGAATGGAGGGAACAATGGATCATACAATGAAGAAGGAGGGGGAGAGAAGAAGGAGTGGAATGGAATGGATCATGGAAGAATGAAAGAAGGAGGAGAAGAAGGGGTTGGAAGGGGGCCAACACTGGATCCCATACAATGAAGAAGGAGGGGAGAAGGAAGGCCATGTGGGGCCACCCATACAATTGGATCATACAATGAAAGCTGGGAGGGGAGAAAAGGAAGGATAATGGGTGGGAAACAATGGATCATACAATGGAAGGAGGGGGAGAAGGAAGGGTGGAATGGAATGGAAGAAGGAGGGGGAGAAGGAATGGAGGGAAGGAACACTGGATCACACAACAGCATGGAGGGAGAGAAGGAAGGAAGGAAGGAATGAAGAATGATCATACAATGAAGGAGGGGAGGAAAGGAAGGGTGAAACCAATGGATCACATGAAAGAAGGAGGAAGGAAGGGAAGAAGGAAATGATCACAATGGAAGAAGGAAGGAAGGAGGGTGGCACGTGTCCACCGGATCATACAAATGGTGCTGGGCCGGGGAGGAGAAAAGGAAGGCCGGGAGGGTGGGGTGAAACGACCGGAT